CACTGTACTGCTGTTGTTGCATATATATCTCTGCATGCGAACTGGCCTTGTGGCCCTTTGCTTGTGCTCAGAATGTGTGGTGACGTTGTGATCCACCCTGAGCTTGCTTTGCCTCTCTTGACTGGTCTTGTGACCCCTTGCTCTCCCCCACTTTGCCTATGGGGGTGTGTCAGACTATGTATGCTATATATGTTTAGGCTGTAGTGGGGTAGCCAATATGGGGTACAACCCCTTCTAGGGTTTGACATTTGTACCCAACTCTTCCATAGTTCATTCATTCCTGCCTGTACTTCTGACAATGTGCTGTCCGCAGCAGCTATCTAAGAACCAGGTATCTTTCCCAGACGGTTCGCCCTGGCCGATGGCTGCGTACGCCGGTTTGGGTTCCAGTGATTCGCGGCGCGGGGTGCTTTCGTCAAGCTGTTCTTCTGGTGAGTAGTATGGTGGCAATCCGGTAATGCAGGAATCAGTTGTTCTTGCCATGCAACTCACGATGCTTCTTGTGCCTTGTGCAGATTTTGTCATCGATGTCGACTGTACTTGATTGGTGAGGTGCGCCTGTGTAGAAGCCATTTGACTGCTTGAGGGTCGAAGCTGACGCTGCGGCGGTGTTGACTGTTGCTGATTCGGGCAGTGAGTGCGGGGGTGTCTGGACGTCTTACAGAGATGGCAGAATGGAGGTACGAACTGTTGAGCTTGATGTTTGTTCTGTCGGTTGTTGTTGTTGTTGTTGTTGTAACGTTGTTGAGTGTGAGACGCGAACTCAAGAGCTGACGCCCTTTTCTTGTGTCGTTCTTCGTATAGGTCCATATCCTGTTGGTCGGCGTGAATTTCGGCACAGAGTGCCGCTTCAGAGATCTTCCTGTGAGCTCGAAGGATAGCTTGAGTGGAGCGCCAATGAGGATCGAGACCAGTGATGACGACTGTCACGAAGGCTTCTCCGGATATCGATCCTTCGCATCGAAGGAGTCTGTCACGCAGTCCTCGACAACGGCTGATATAGGCCATCCCCTTTTCGTCGGGTTTCATTTCCACTGTCGTTAGCTGTGCCATGAGACGACTCTGATTGATGTTGTCTGTTGCTTGATACAGGTTCTTCAAGTGGTTGTACGCGAGCTCGGCGGAGTTGCCGTATCCACGATAAGAACGAATGTTCTGCTGCTCGTCGGTGTGATGTTGCATAGGAGAATCGTTTACGCCATCAGCGACTTATACTTATACTATTGTTTGTCGTACTGCGTCCCGTGTGTTGGGTATGTCAGGGATCCATCGAAGAATCCGAGGATATGCACGCCTTCCATCATCAACTCGAATTCGAAGGACCAGGTATAAAAGTCCTTCCCGTCAAAGGGTGTTGATGTCTGCAGCATTAGAACGTGTGCAAACTGCGATTGATTCTGAAGCGCGTCCAGTGTCTTCTCTTGTCCAGGTGGAGGCTGTTGGTGCGGCATGAAGTTGATGGAGCCACGTTGAGGCTCGTACGAAGCAAAGGTAGGTTGCTGCTGGTTTCCGCGTGCGTAGGATGAGCCGTCAAGACTCATTGGGGTAACGCCGTTGTTGTTGTTGCTGTTGTTTGACTGCGAAGGTGCTGTTTGCTGGTGCTGTTTGCTGGTGCTGTTCGTAGAAGGACATGAAGGAGAAGAACTTCTTCATCATGTTTGGGTCGAAGCCGGTCATTTGGTTTGCGGGAGTCTGAGTGGACTTGGCAGCTGGTCTTGTCGCCGTGCCTCCCTCTGTCTGTAGGCCAGAGGCTGGAGGTGGAGTAGGAGTAGTACCAGGAGAGCCGTTAGATGAGCTTCTCTCCTTCTGCGTTGCCATGTCTTCTGATGTTGTAGGAGTTTAAACAAAATTGAATCTTGCCTTGTCAGCTCTCATACCATGTTGGGCTGAGAAAAGCACTTAGGATCTTTCAAGGCTAAGACTTTGATCTGGATGTTGTATTGCGGAAGCGTTTAGTGATAAGTTGTTGAACCACCTTGCGCTAGTTTGTGAGGGCAAGATAGATAAATGATAATAAAAGTAATACAAGTTTTTATAAGATTACAAGGAATATGAAAGAATGCAATAACCGTTTTGCTGTTGCTGTTGCGTTTTGATACAGTGACGACTCGGGCAACTGTTCAATACCGAATCAGTTGTTTGTCCTTGCTGTCGCGCTGTATTTGTCGAGTCAAAGGTCGATGACCTTTGACCTTCGCGTAACCTCCGGCTGTTACTTTTCTATCAACCTCTTCGAATGACTCGCCATTGCTTCGCTATAGCTTGCCTCGTTTACGGTTCGATGTTACGACACATAGGAAGCGTAGATTACTTGTTTCCAACAAAGACACGAGTGAACACTAAAGCAAAGTCGTGGCAACGGACACTAAAACATGATGTGCTGGCGCAGAGGTTTAGGGTCAGTAGTTGAGGCATGTGGCATCTTGCAATATGTTGCACATGTAATGGATGGGAAATATTTGTCAGGTGGTAATGGGAAATAATGGCTGAGAGGTGGGCAAAAGATGCCATATGCGGAACATAGGGTGAACTAGAGGTAGTACAGGAAGAACGCTTTTCCTTACCAATGGTGTTTGGATGTATCAGTTTGCAACACACGCTACAAGCGGTTTTGCGTGGTTCGCTCAATATCGAAGCTCGTTTTGCAATGTCTTTCCACTCCTCGCTTGCTGCCACGTGGAACAACCAATCATATCAACTATAAGCAATTTTGATTGAACAACCAAGATTACAGGCATCTGCTATCCAGGTATCCATTGGATGTGCAAGCAGCTCTACAGTACGCTCCAGCATCCAAAGAATCATTCTCACGCACGTCCCATTTTCGAAGGGGCGCAATACTCGAGGCGCGCTGCAAACCCCGCGGCGCAACTCTCGTCATTGTTTCAGCCCGTCGTCACGCGACACGACGCTGCGCCTAGACCGAGTGACATGCCACGCCACGTGATGATGGCGAGACACGCGTCCCATCCCATCCCACCAAACCAGCTGGCTGCCCGCCTTGCCCGTCTGTCTGCCCGAACCCGAACCTGCCGTTTTCCCCAGACTGCCCCACTTCGACTTTTCCAATGAGAGTTTCCCCCACCCCTAACCACTGCCATCCCACCACCCACCGCACCCGGAACATTCTCACCGAGCGCTTTCCCCAGACATACGTAACACCTCGCAGGTTGCTCCACCCCTGGAATACACTTTTTTTTATTATGATGCCCAATTGCCCATCACGTAAGAAGAGGCGTACTAGCTGCTACGTCTCGATAAAATGCTGAACTTGTATATTTTTCGATCTTCAATATTGTCTGTCTTGCATGAAAGGTTTAATTTGAACGAACCCGAGTTCAGGCTGTATTTAAAAAAAGTTTCGATAGAGTTAAACCACAGGAAAATGGACACAGAAATGATGTCTCCAACTATAGAGGCAGAACAGTGAAGTTAGTGGATACGTGGAAAACATGGAGATCAACCCACCAAAGATCGACCTAAAACATGGAAACGTGGTCAAATAAAATAAAGATAAATATGGGTAACAACTATAACTGATTATGGGTGTATTGAACCAACACTTCCGCCGCCATCCGTCACCACTTCTGCCGATCCCAACCAACCACTTTTTTGTCCCGCAACTCACGGGTTCAATGCGCCCTTTGTCTGGTTAGCGAATCACATCACAACCACCACCACCACCATCACCACCCCAAACCCCTAGTGACGTTTAAGGTAGGTCGTGTTCCCTTATCTTGTCCCACAACATAAGAGCATGACAGGCGGTCGCACAGCGGGCTGTCGTCTTGGTTAAACGTAATATGACTGCTTTGTGTTGGATTTGTCATGACACAGTACACTCTGAACTCGTGTTGTTTCAAGTTTCCATGACACCTTGGTTTCCGATGCTTGAAAAACAACACGCCCTACGTGACTTGGAAGGCATTTCAAATGTTCCTCGATTTCTCCGACGAAGTTCTGTAGAGCCCTTGTACTATTTCTTCTCACAATATTTAGAGTTCAGGGTTTCTGCTTCTGTTCCCATCTCCATAAGACATTACTTGTCTTCTTCCTCAGTCACGAGATTAGGGAGGGCGCACTGAGGGTCTTGGTCATATTCTTCAAGCAAAAATACGAGTTTCTTTCGTAAAAAGCGTCAGTGCGTTCGGTATTCATTTTTATTGTGCGACATTGCGTCAATTGGTGTTCCCTTCGTAGGTAGTCGTAACTCGACCCAACTCTTCACTCAACTGAAAACGTCACCTGTTTAGGGAACGTAATTGGGTAGCCTGTACTGAAACCATGGCGGAAGTAGACGTAGCCGGCCTGAGCGCCGGAACAACGCATACCGGCGTGACTGGCGGCGGTAGCGTGCCCACTGCGCGACGATACTCTCTAGGCATTGTGCAGCCTGGCGGCGCGGGGGGAGATGCCGGCGGCGCGAAGGTTCTGAGCTCAAAGTCGGAGCTTAAAGACGCGCTGACGGCGTTTCAGCAGACGTTCGTCATGTGCGACGCGACGAAGCCCGACAACCCTATCATGTTCGCTAGCGAGGGGTTTTACCAGATGACGGGGTACACGGCCCAAGAGACTATCGGCAAGAACTGGTGCGTATTACTGACGTTACCGATTTATGAAGCGTGACAACCCTTTTATGTTCGCCATCGGCGATCAAATAGGTTACACAGCGCAAGAACTGGGTAGTCATTTTCTAAAGACATATCAAGAACATCACGTGGGGTTCGTGACTGACGAAGCTCGACATCCCTAGTAACAGACACCTCGAACGGTATAAAAAATCGCCAATTAAGTCGAGGTCTCGGCTGGCAGGCATGTTTTGTTCTCACCGCTACTCGTCAGCTTGATTGTTTCGGCGTTGTATACAGTCGGTTTGTTTGTTTGTTTGTTTGTTTTTTTTTTTTTGTGCGTTGGTTTTACTTGTTTGTTTGTTTGTTTGTATTTTCATTGGTTAACACAACCGGTGCATTAAGCATGCGTGCAAGAGGCGTTGCGTTTCCATGACTTATGAAGTTACCACAGTAAGAGGTCACAAAGAGTCTCTCGCTTACACAGTTTCCAAGGCGGAGGTGGGGAGCTGCGCGCAGGGCGGGGACAGGGGAAAGCTGTTGCGGAATGGTGGGGGGGGGGGAGCTGGTGCGGACGGCTCTTGATGTTTGCTTACCCCCCCTCTTTCCCGACATTTTCGCTCTCGTTCCCCTTCCTTCCGCCAGCTGTTTTTCCCTCGCTTCTCTTTCTCCTTCCGCCAGTCGTTTTCCGGAGGGCGCGGAGACGGACAAGGCGGACGCGAAGCTGCGCTGGCAGTGGCGGCCGGGGAGAGCCGGTGCGGGGGAATGCTGGGAAGCTTCCCCGCCCCCTCCTCTCTTCCCCCCTCCCCCCCCCCTCTTCCCTACCCAACCCAGCTTCCTCACTCTATCCTCCCTCGTTATCCCCCCTTATTTCCCCCAACCGCTCCCCTCTCTCTTCCCTGCCCTTTCCCCTCCGCGCGTTCGCACAGTCGTTTCCTGCAGGGCGAGGAGACGGACAAGGCGGAGATTGCGAAGCTGCGCGCGGCAGTGGCGGCGGGGGAGAGCTGGTGCGGGCGGCTGCTCAACTACAAGAAGGACGGCTCGCCCTTCTGGAACCTTCTCACCGTGTCGCCCGTTAAGGACGACAACGGGACGGTCGTTAAGTTTATCGGGTGAGCGGCTGAGAATCATCTGACTGTAACGAGTGTAATTGTGTCAAGTATTATCGAGTGTGACTGCATCGAGTCGAGTATTGACGTAGTTGCTCGATTCCGAGAAAAATAAGTCGCCCTTTTGGAGCCTTGTGACCGTGTCGGCCGTCAGGGATATTAAAGGTCGTCTATTCAGTCGATTCATTGCCCACATGTCAACATTGATCCGCAAGAAAACAGCGTTTGCTTCTAGATATTATCGTTTATCCATTACGTCAGCATTGTTTCGTCAATGTCAGCATATCCGTCAACGTCGGCATTTCCGTCGATGTCAGCATTTCCGTCAATCTCAGAGTTTTCGTCAATGCCACATTTCCGTCAATGTCAGCATTGTCGGATAATTGCTGACATTGACGAAAATGTCAGCATGCGTTTGAAGGTGTCCGTAAGTGTCAGCATTTACTGCGCAGTCCGTCAATGCCAACAATTATTCGTTAATGCTAGGGTTTATCCGTCAACGTTAGCAGTTTACCATTCAACGTGCTAACTGCTGCTCTATCCTTCTCTCTCCAAACACTCCGCCCCTCCCCTCCTCTCTCCCCCCGTCCCATTCAAGGGGAGGTGACCCATTGCACCAGAAACAGCGAGTGCATACTTCTCTTATTCCCCTTCTCTACCCCTGCCTAATTTCCTCACTCCCATTGTCCTTCCTCCTCCTCCCTTCTACCCTTTCCCCGGGAGAACCAAATTCACGGAAGGTGGCAAAAATAAGAACTGTCAAAACCTGTCTTACTCCTATCGCCTCTGCCCCTGCGTACCCCTCACACTCCACTTCTCCCTCTCCCCCTCCTCCCCGCCTCCCCTCCTGCAGCATGCAAGTGGAGGTGACAAAATACACGGAGGGCGCAAAGGACAAGGAGACCCGCCCCAACGCGCTGCCCGTCTCGCTTATTAAATATGACGGTACGTACTGTTCAGAGTTTTTTTTTTTTTTTTTTTTTGTTTCCAAGGAGTGGAGCACAATACCCCACCCCCCTTTTCTGCAGAGGAACCGGAAAGTACAGTTTTGAGGCGCCTCAAAAGAGGGAAGAACCTGAGAGAACAGTGTCTAAGCTGGTGGTGGAGGTGGGTAACAGGTCTATTCCCCTTCTTGGGCTCCTTACCTCCCCCTTTCTCTTCACCCGCCCCGCTCTTCCTCCCCCCAACACAGCGCGCCAGAGGGAGGAAGCGGAGAGCACAGTGTCTGAGCTGGTGGCGGAGGTGGGGAACAAGTCGCTGCAGGCGGAAGGGGGGGAGGCGGAGGGCGGAACGCAGCCCCCCAAGGCGGAGGGGGAGGGGTCGGGGGGAGCTGCGGTGGGGGCGGACGGGAAGGGCAGTGAGAGGCGCAAGTCTGGGCTCATGTCCTTGCTGTCGTGAGTGGCACCTTTCTTTGTAATCCCCTTCCTGAGGCGCCTCAAAAGTTAGGGGCGCCTCTCAAATCAGGGCTCATGTCTTTGCTGTCGTGAGTGGCACCTTTCTTTCTTACTCGCCTTTTGAGGCGCCTCAAAAACTGGGCCCATGTCTCTGCTGTCGTGAGTGGCACCTGACTTTTTAACTCGCCTTTCTTTGCATTCACCTGTCTTTGACTCTGCGAGAGGTCTTTTTATACTCTTCGTGCTTCATCGCAGGAGATGGGACGATCGGCTGCAGAGTCCCATCGAAGGCTGAAAATACGAGAGGAGGAGCTGTTGAGAACGCATATTCCACTTCCCCTCCGCTCCCCCTCGGCAATGGAGGCGGCGGCGGAGGAGGATGCTGGGGACCACAAGGCGAGGAGGGGGGGGTCTGTTCTAGCAAGCACTCATACCCCACTTCCCCTCTCCTTTCCTCCTCATCTCTCCCCTTCCCCCCATGCAGCAAGAAGGAGCGAGCTGAGCCGGCAATGGAGGCGTTGGAGGAGGACGAGGGCGGGCACAAGGCGAGGAGGGATGGGGGTTTGACTAACCACGACTCCCACTTTTTCCCTCCACCCCACTGCCCATCTGCACGCTTTCAGCAAGAAGGAGCGGTCGGAGCCGGCAATGGAGGCGGTGGAGGAGGAGGACGAGGGCGAGCACAAGGCCAGGAGGGGGCTTGACTTGGCGACTACCTTGGAGCGAATCCAGAAGAACTTTGTGATCACGGACCCGCGCCTGCCTGAGAATCCTATTGTGAGTGCCTGGGTGATGTGAGAGGATGGAGGGGTTTGAATGGGTGAAGGGCGGTGCCTGATGGTGCGTGTGGTGCAGTGGGTGAGGCGAGGAGGGGGCTTGACCTGGCGACCACGCTGGAGCGAATCCAGAAGAACTTTGTGATCACGGACCCGCGCCTGCCGGAGAACCCCATTGTGAGTGCCGGTTTGATCGATGTGCTATGTGGCTTGAGATGGTTTGCTAGGGCTGGGATGAGTAGCTGAGTGGTAGGTGAGTAGGGGCTTGACCTGGCGACCACTCCCCTCCCCTCCCCTCCCTCCCCGCCCTCTTCTTCCTCCCCAAAGTTCCCACCCTGCCCACCCTGCCCACTCTGCCCTGTCCACCCCTGCTGGCTCTCTAACCTACCTGTCTGATGCAAAGATCTGCCCTGTTTCCTCCTTCGTCACCCCTTCCTTTTTCTTCACCCCCTCCCCGCCCCCCTTCCCCTCCCCGCCCCCCTTCCCCTCCCCGCCCTCCTCTTCCTCCCCAATGTTCCCACCCAGCCCACCCTCCCCTGTCTACCCCTGCTGGCTCCCTAACCTACCTGTTTCCTCCCTCGTCACCCCTTCCTTCTTTCTTCCACCCCTCCTCCCCTGCGTGGTGAGATCTTTGCATCAGACGATTTCCTTGAGCTCACAGAGTTCTCCGATCCCATGTTCTTCCAGCCCCACCCATTCTGACCGCATCCTACTCCTGCCAGCTCGCTCAACATTCCTCTTACCTCCCCCCACCCCCTCCCCCCCCCCTTCTCCCCCTCCTCCCTCGGCCCTCCTCCCCTTTCATCCTCCCTGCGTGGGCAGATCTTTGCATCAGACGATTTCCTTGAGCTCACAGAGTATTCCAGAGAGGAGATTTTGGGGCGCAACTGCAGGTGAGGCCAGGGCTGAGGGTTTAAGGTTTGAGGTCGGGCTTTGGGTTTGAAGTTCTAGTGGTGATGGAGGAGAGGAGAGGAGCGCCTGACAGGACCGGCTTTTCTGTGTGACCTTGTTTTCTCATCGCATGTGTGACGATGGCATTTGTGTTTATTTCTTGTTGCACGGCAGGTTCCTGCAAGGCCCCGACACGGATCCCAAGACGGTGCAGAGGATTCGAGATGTTACTGTTCAGGAGGCGCTTTATACTAACTTAATCAGTCTTATGTGTGCCTGCACTTCATCTTCTGTGCTCATGGCACGGCAGGTTCCTGCAAGGCCCCGACACGGATCCCAAGACGGTGCAGAGGATTCGAGATGCCATCAAGAAGGAGGAGGATATCACGGTGCAGCTGCTGAATTATACCAAGTCAGGTGAGCTGTGGGGAAGTAGCAAGCAATTCGTTCCAAGGCAGGTTCGCACTCACATCCACTCACATAGCACCAACTAAGCCTCACAGATGCAGTCAAGACGGAGGAGGATATCACATTGTCGCTGCTTAACTATACCAAGTCGGGTGAGCGCATTGCAAGCACGATGCACAGTGTCAGGTCAGGTAGTTCATTCATCTGCCAGGATGAAATGCGATCTAGATCAAGAAAGAGGAGGATATCACGGTGCAGCTGCTCAACTACACCAGGTCAGGTGAGCGGAATATCAAGTGTCTGAGTCAGGTATTGCTGTGCCACATTTGCACTGCTCCCCTGCCCTCCCATCTCACCACTCTCCTCGTCCCTCCTCCGTGTCTATCTATCCTTGCCCCCTTGCCCTGTGTTTTTGAGAATTCTCAAAAATACTCTGCAACATATTTGCATTGCTCCCCTGCCCTCCCGTCTCACCACTCTCCCCATCTCTCCTCCGTGTCTATCCATCCTTGCCCCCTTGCCCTGCTGCGTTGCTGCTGCAGGCAAGCAGTTCTGGAATCTCTTTCATCTGCAGGCTGTCCGTGACAACAAGGTGCGTGGCGGTGCAGAGTGGTAGAGCAATGTAGAGTGGTGTAGGGTGGTCTGGGAGTTGTGGTTGTCTACTAGTGAGTAGGTGTCTATCAGTGTTGCTGCTGCAGGCAAGCAGTTCTGGAATCTTTTTCATCTGCAGGCCGTGCACGATAACAAGGTGCGTGGTGGTGCAGAGTGGTGTGGTGTTGTAAGTGGTTCAAAGTGTTGTGGGGAGTGTGGTTGTGTACAGGTGAGTAGGTATTTGTTCGCCTCTATTCACCTCTTTCACCTCGTCTCACCTCTCTCAACAGGGCATGCTGCAGTACCTCATAGGAGTGCAGCTGGACGCCCCCCATTACGTTGACCCCTCCATCCATCCCTGCAGGCACAATATTCACCCCTTCTCACCCCTTTCCACCGCAACAGAGCATGCTGCAGTACCTCATAGGAGTGCAGCTGGACGCGTCCCAGTACGTGGACCCCTCCATCCATCCCTGCAGGCACCCTATTCACCCCTTCTCACCCCTTTACACCACGTTTCACCCCTTTCCACCCCTCCTCTCCTCAACAGGGCATGCTGCAGTACCTCATCGGAGTGCAGCTGGACGCCTCTCAGTACGTGGGCCCCTCGATCCACCACCCATGCAGGCACCGGTGTTCACCCCTTGTCACCCCTCTTCACCCCTCTGGCTTCCTCTCAACAGGGCATGCTGCAGTACTTCATCGGAGTGCAGCTGGACGCCTCTCAGTACGTCGATCCTTCAATCCACGGGCTCCAGGAGAAGCTGGCAACGGAGGGAGAGAAGATTGTGAGTTATGCTTGTCACCATGCATGCATGTTGGCACGTGTGTTGTATCCGTGAACATGTGAGCCTCTCACTCCCAGTGCGTGGACCCCTCCCTCCCTCCACGGGCTACAGGAGAAGCTTGCAACCGAGGGAGAGAAGATTGTGAGTGCTGCCTGTTGCCAAGACATTTGCCAACTGTGCTGGAAATCCCGTGTGTTCACTTCAGAGCCTAGACCATTAAGTCGCCTCAGAACTTCATTGCTAACTGTGTGGAAATCTTGAGTTAAGAGACTCTTGGTCGGCCACGTAAGTAACCAAGAGTTCAGCTTTGGCAATTTCTCATATTGTCAAATGGCCTACTTGCGAGGCTCTTACCAAGAGGGATCTCTGAGAATGCAATCCAACAAGAGGACCTTGTGAATTCTGCATGCTATTGCCTTTCTCCTCCCTGAGGCTCATGATCCCGTCTGCATGGTCTGTCTCCTCTCTCTCACCTAAACAGGTGTTGGAATAACCAACAGCGGCGAGGATGCAGTCGGAGAGAGAGAGCTTGCCGGCCCTCTCCCTTGCATGCAGTGCACTCTCCCTTGCATGCAGTGCACTCTCCCTTGCATGCAGTGCACTCTCCCTTGCATGCAGTGCACTCTCCCTTGCATGCAGTGCACTCTCCCTTGCATGCAGTGCACTCTCCCTTGCATGCAGTGCACTCTCCCTTGCATGCAGTGCACTCTCCCTTGCATGCAGTGCACTCTCCCTTGCATGCAGTGCACTCTCCCTTGCATGCAGTGCACTCTCCCTTGCATGCAGTGCACTCTCCCTTGCATGCAGTGCACTCTCCCTTGCATGCAGTGCACTCTCTCCTCTCGTTGACTTGCCCTCTCCCCTGTCGTTGACTTGCCCTCTCTCGCCTCCTGACCCGTGTCCCCCCTTATGTATTCTCCCTCGCCTGTCCCTCTGCAGGTGCTGGAAGCAGCTAACAATGTGGAGGGCGCAGTCAGAGAGCTCGCCGACCCTGGTGCTGTGAGTGATCCTTCCCTCTCCTCCTCTCCTCCTCTCCTCTCCTCCTCTCCTCTCTCCTCTCCTCTCCTCTCATTTCCTCTCCTCTCCTCTCCTCTCCTTTCTAAAGCTCCTCTCCTCTCGTCTCCTCACCTCCTCTACCTCCTCATCCATTTCCTTAATTCTTTGCTTCCACAACCATCCCCACTCTCCTCTCCTCTCCACCACCATCCCCACACTCTCCTCTCCTCTCCTCAACTCCCTCTCCCGTTTTCTCCTCGGCCATACCTCTATTGCTCGTTTCTCTCCTTTGATTTGTTGACTCATTTTCTTTCTGCCGAGCCCCTGGCGACCTGTGGGCAGTACACACGGCGCCAGAGGCAGTCAAGCGAGTAAACACAACACAAGCCAATCACATTCTTTCATATCAGCCTTCCTCCCTTCTCGATGCAGGCTCCTGGGGACCTGTGGGCCACACAGCGCCAGTGGCAATCAAGTATCAAGCCACTCACACGCGTGTCCTCTCCCGTCTCTCTTCTTCTTCCCACTTCGTTTCTTTCTCAGGCCGCTGGGGACCTGTGGGCCGTGCACACAGCACCAGTGGCAATCAAGCCGCACAAAACTGGTGACCCGGCGTGGCAGGCCATTCAGGAGGTGAGCTGATAAAGGAGGATACCCGTCCTTGAGTCCACACCCCGTGGCACTTGCTATATGTATGTGTATGCATGCGCGCATAATGCGTAGCGTGGGTGAGCAGGTGGGTGAGTGAGTGAGAGCATGGGTGGGTAAGTGCGTGAGCAGTGCGCCCAGCAGGGAAGAAAGGATGGATGGCAAAGCATGTTGTTGCCCTGGGACTTATGGTGCAACATTATTAATTTATTTATTTTACATGCGCGTGTGTGATTCTTGTTCGTCCATCAGGTGATCAAGAAGGACGGCAAACTAAGCCTGAAGCACTTCCGACCAATCAAGCCCCTGGGCGCTGGAGACACGGGCAGGTGAGCGGGCAACTTTAACGAATTTTGACATTTGTTGATCCGATATGAGGGACGCGGCCAGGTGGACGGGAAATTGTGACAAATATTGACAGTTAAAGTGGATCTACTCTACCCTAGCAGGTGAACAAGGGGTTGATGATGTTGCTCTCTTGCTCTCTTGCTCTCTCTCTCTCTCTCTCCCATCTGGTGGAGCTGAGGGACACGACGCGTCTGTTTGCAATGAAGGCGATGGACAAGGAGGTGATGGTGATGATGGACCGCCCGCCCTTACCCATGCTTGCACCCCTCTCTCCTCTGTACGCTACCCTCCGTCCCCTCCCTCCCTGTCAACAGCGTGCACCTTGTTGAACTGAGGGACACGACCCGTCTGTTCGCAATGAAGGCGATGTACAAGGAGGTGATGGTGAATCGCCCACCCACGCACCCCTCTCCCCCCCTTTCTGCTCTCCAATATGTTTCTCCATCACCAGTGTGCATCTCGTCGAGCTGAGGGACACAAATCGTCTCTTTGCAATGAAGGCGATGGACAAGGAGGTGATGGTGAATCGCAACAAGGTGCACCGCGCTTGCACTGAGAGGGACATTCTGGGAAGGATCGACTTCCCCTTCCTGCCCACGCTCTACGCCTCCTTCCAGGTACGCCCTGCACCAGGTGGCGCCTGGTAGTGCATGCAGGCAGGTAGAGAGGGACAGGGAGGTGTGGCCTCCTTCCACATGGTGAGGTGGAGGAGGGAGGCAGTAGTACCCTACCGTGTGGGGCGATGGACAAGGAGGTGATGGTGAATCGCAACAAGGTGCACCGCGCCTACACCGAGCGGGACATCCTGGGAAGGATCGACTTCCCTTTCCTGCCCACGCTCTACGCCTCCTTCCAGGTATGGCCTGCCTCCTTCCTTCCAGGTATTTCCTGCACCAGGTGGTACAGCGGGCAGGTAGAGCGCTGCGCTGCTTGAGCTGTCCATAAGGTCTCAGCCTCGTGAAGGCAGTACCCTACCGTGTGGGGCGATGGACAAGGAGGTGATGGTGAATCGCAACAAGGTGCACCGCGCCTGCACCGAGCGGGACATCCTGGGGCGCATCGACTTCCCCTTCCTGCCCACGCTCTACGCCTCCTTCCAGGTACGACCTGCACTAGGTGGTGCCTGGCAAAACACCCTTCGGCCTGCCCTAATGTTCCCTACTCAAGGTGCCTCTCCTGAAATACTCTTAACACCAGCCAGTTTCCTTGGCTCAAAGCGCTCCTTTCCCCCAACTCTCTTTCCCTGTTTTTCCCCCCAGACGGCCGCCCACGTATGTCTGATCATGGAGTTCTGTGGGGGGAGGGTTTTGAGCTGTGCGGCATTCTGGAGAAGCACAAGGGGTTGCTGTTACACTTTCGCAACCATCTTTCATCAACACTCCCCTTTCCCACAACTCCCTGTCCCCAATTTTCAAGACGGCCACGCACGTGTGTCTGATCACGGAGTTCTGCACCGGCAGTGAGCTGTACGGCATATTGGAGAAGCAGAAGAGATGACCTGATGCTTTGATGCCCTTACTTACCATTGCCCTTTCCTCGCCTCCTCAGACGGCCACGCACGTGTGTCTGATCACGGATTTCTGCGCGGGGGGTGAGCTGTACGGCATTCTGGAGAAGCAGAAGGGGTTGCTGTGATGTGACACATCTAGTAACACACATTTTTTCCTCAACACTCCTTCCCTGCGTTCCCCCGCAGACCGCCACGCACGTGTGTCTGATCACGGAGTTCTGCGCCGGTGGTGAGCTGTACGGCATTCTGGAGAAGCAGAAGGGCAAGCGCCTGCCCGAGGCTGCTGCACGCTTCTTTGTGGCGGAGGTGCTGCTGGCGCTTGAGTACCTGCACTGCCATGGTGAGTTTTTTGATATGTTTATACTGCAGGGTGTAGGGTGTAGGGAAGGACAAGCGTGTGGTATGGAGCGATGGAAAAGGGCACGCACCTGCCCGAGGCTGCTGCGTTCTTCATTGTGGCTGAAGTGCTGCTGGCGCTGGAGTACCTGCACTGCCATGGTGGGTGGGGGTTGAGGAGGGGAGGAAGGGGGTCGTATGAGTGGGTGCTCTCCAGGCTGCTGCGCACTTCTTTGTGGCTGAGCTGAGGTGCTGCTGGCGCTCGAGTACCTGCACTGCCACGGTGGGTTGACGCAGTGTGCAGCATGGTGTGTGCACATGGTGTGTGCAGCGTGGTATGCATGTATGTAAGTATGAGTGGGTGCTCTCAGGCTGCTGTGCGCTTCTTCGTAGTCGAAGTGCTGCTGGCGCTGGAGTGTCTGCACTGCCATGGTGAGTGGGGGAAGAGGAGGGGAGGAAGGGGGTGGTAAGCATGTATGCACGTATGAGTGGGTGTTCTTAGGCTGCTGCGCGCTTCTTCGTAGCCGAAGTGCTGCTGGCGTTGGAGTACCTGCACTGATCTCTCTACCCATAACCGCATCCTTCAACCCCTAACCCTGTATGTTATATCCCACACACGCAATGCACAACAGGAGTGGTGTACTGTGACTTGAAGCCCGAGAACGTGTTGGTGCAGAAGCTCGGCCGTGCCATGCTGATTGAATGAAACCCCAAACCGAACCGTAACCTTTATCACCCAATCCTGTGGCTTGATCGCTTAATCCGTTGCAGGAGTTGTCTACCGTGACTTGAAGCCCGAGAACGTGTTGGTGCAGGAGTCTGGCCATGCCATGCTCACTGTCTTGAACCTGAAATCATAACCTTGAACTTCAACCCTTGTATTGCAATCCCGTTATTGACTCATTGCAGGAGTTGTCTACCGCGACTTGAAGCCGGAGAACGTGTTGGTGCAGGAGTCAGGCCATGCCATGCTCACTGATTTCGATCTCTCCTTCAGCACCGAGTGCAAACCCAAGGTACATGATGCTGCTGCCCCTGCCTGCGGTGACTTTGTTGACCAGTGTTGACTTGGTTGACCTGACATTGAGCCCTACCACTGAGTTCAAACCCAGGGTACATGCTGCCTTGACCCTGTAGACCAGTGTTGACTTGGTTGAATGACGTTGACGTTTCCTTCATCACGCAAACCCTAAGTGTGGGCTGTTCCTGCCTGCGTTGACTTCGTTGACCAGCGTTGTCTTGATTGATTGGAGTTAAACTTTCGTTCTTTGTTCTATCCACCCTTGCTGTGTGTGTGCCCCAGCTGGAGTTCCCACCCGTCCCGCCTGACTTTGAGAAGCGCAAGAAGAAGGCGGCCCAAGTGGGATGCGGAGGCGCCACCAAGGGTCCGTCCCCTTCAGAGCTGGAGCTGGAGCTGCTGCCCATACTTGTGGCCGAGCCAGAGGCAACGAGCAACAGCTTTGTGGGCACGGAGGAGTACATTGCTCCAGAGATCATCAGCGGTACCGGCCACAGCAGCCCCGTCGACTGGTGGACGTTTGGTGAGTGCGCTTTGTGTGGGGGTGGGTCTAGCTAGTGTATGGCAGCTAGTGGGATGCTTTGTGGGCACGGAGGAGTACATTGCTCCGGAGATCATCAGCGGTACCGGCCACAGCAGCCCCGTCGACTGGTGGACGTTTGGTGAGTGCGCTTTGTGTGGGGGTGGGTCTAGCTAGTGTATGGCAGCTAGTGGGATGCTTTGTGGGCACGGAGGAGTACATTGCTCCGGAGATCATCAGCGGTACCGGGCACAGCAGCCCTGTCGACTGGTGGACCTTCGGTGAGTGCGCTTTGTGCTTAGATCTGGCTAGTGTCTGGCTGTAAGGTGGGGAGGATGCGGCCAAACAAACCCCCACTCTAATGGGAGTCAGAGGCGACTAGCAACAGCTTTGTGGGCACGGAGGAGTACATTGCTCCGGAGATCATCAGCGGTACCGGGCACAGCAGCCCGGTTGACTGGTGGACGTTCGGTGAGTGCATGAGTGCCCAGAGCCGCTTGCGAGCCTTTCATTGGTGGGCTTTAGGCCTCGGAAAGAGTGCTCTTGGTGGGCACGGAGGAGTACATTGCTTGCCCCGGAGATCATTAGTGGTACCGGGCACAGCAGCCCTGTTGACTGGTGGACCTTCGGTGAGTGGGCTTCGTTCTTGGACCTGACTAGTTTCCGGCAGTAAGACGGGGAGGATGCGACCAAACAAACCCGCAATCCTGATGGGAGCCAGAGGCGACAAGCAACAGCTTTGTGGGCACGGAGGAGTACATTGCTCCGGAGATCATCAGCGGTACCGGCCACAGCAGCCCCGTCGATTGGTGGACGTTCAGTGAGTGGAAAGAGGTGCTCGTGTGTGACTACTCGGGCTGTGGGTTTGAGGCAGCTCAAGGGGTGCTTTGTGTGCACGGAGGAATGCATTGCTCCGGAGATAATCAGCGGCACGGGGCACAGCAGCCCCGTTCGCTGGTGGGACTTCGGTGAGCGCGCTTTGTGGTTAACCTGAGCTTGACTGGTGGGCTTTCGCTAGTGTCGGGTAATGGTGTGGGGGTGAAGGCATGGCCAAGCAACCTCGCAAGCCCAATAGGAGCCAGAGGCGACGAACAGCAGCTGCATTTCGTTTATCCGTTGACATGACACTGTCATTGACACTGCTTCCGAGTTTTGGAGATGATGCAGAACTCGTGGCGGCGAATTGACACATCATTTCACCCCATTGACATGTTCTGTCAATCCGCCTTGCACCCCCTTTCCAGGAATCTTCCTGTACGAGCTGCTGTACGGTCGCAGCCCCTTCCGCGGGCGCAACCGCCAGCGCACCTTCACCAACGTGCTCACCAAGGACCTCGCCTTCCCGGCTAACCCTCCGGTATGTTAATGCATTGTTAGGATCGATCATCAGTCACTGGTTCACCTCACCTCGCCAGCGCACCTTCACCAACGTGCTCACCAAGGACCTCGCCTTCCCGGCTAACCCTCCGGTATGTTAATGCATTGTTAGGATCGATCATCAGTCACTGGTTCACCTCACCTCGCCAGCGCACCTTCACCAACGTGCTCACTAAGGACCTTGCGTTTCCCGCCAATCCTCCGGTGAGTCATCCTGCAGAGGAATTCATTTGCTTAGCAGCCACCACCCAGCACCCTCGTGTCCCTCACAGCCCCTCCTGTTCCCCTTCATTCACCCCTGTTTGTGCCACCGCCCTCAGACGTAGGACAAGGCCAAGGACCTGATGTGCAAGCTGCTGCAGAGGAACTCATCAGCTCATCAATCCCCACCCCTACAAACCCTTGCCTCCTCGTTCTTCCCTCATAAACGCCCCTCCCTGAATGGCAGGTGTCGGACGAGGCCAAGGACCTGATGCGCAAGCTGCTGCAGAGGGACCCGGCGGACCGCCTGGGGGCGAAGCACGGTGCCATTGAGATCCGAGCCCACCCCTTCTTCAAATCCATTGAGTGGCCGCTCATTCGCAACATGGTCAGTGTCTGTCCTTACCTACACACCCCTCACTCTCGTGCACTCTCTCACACTCTCACACGGCGCTGTTGAGACTCACCCGTTCTTCAAATCCATTGAGTGGCCGCTCATCCGCAACACGGCCAGTATGAGCTCTCTTAACTCACGCTCCCTCACTCACACACTCCCTCTCACGCAAGTCCACTCTCACATGGCGCAGTTGAAATATGAGCACCCGCTTTATCAAGTCCATTGAGTGGACGCCCATTCAGGTCACTTTCATTCCTTAACTATACATCCTCACACTCTCGCACTTGCACACGTTTAATTCTCACCAACTAAAGAAGACAATGTTTAAAACCCATCCGCCAACACACAGCATGCCTGATACACACACCATGTATAACCCGGCTGTCCCTGTCACACTGGTTCTTTTGGCACGTGAACAGAAGCCCCCGCAGTTGTGTGTTCTGGCGAAGGTGATGCCAGCACAGGCGTGCTTCCTCTTTCTCTTTCTCACACATTTCCATTCTCCCTTGCAACTCTGTTTACTACTATCCCTCTTGTGAGCAGAAGCCGCCGCAGCTGGATGTGCCAGTGAAGGCGATTTCGGCAGAGGCAGAGGAGGGAAGGCCGTCGACAGCAGAGGAGGAAATGGACTGGGATGAGAATGAGGCCAGGCCGTCCACTTCACTTGACTACGGCTACTGACCTTAAGTTGCTGCTGCAGTGGAGAATAAAATGTTTCAGTAGAAACAGTTTATGTTTTAATTATGTGTGCACTAATGTTCTAATTAGTTTGTGTGATAGTTGGTTAGCTTGGGGAGTACATCTGTAGTGGGAAATCAATGTGGTTGTGTAGTTACTGTTATGTGTGACCGTCCTTCTAGAAAGTTACTGGAGTGTCCAACCGCATCGGAAAACGGATCAACCTGGCCCAACCGTATCAATTAGGCACGACCAGAAACTGATCCGAGGGACAGAGCTGCGAACAACGAGGTTGATGCTCTCCAACATTGACCAAAGCAACATCCTCGAGCTTTTGGCATGTCACATATGTTCACCTCGATACACACTACGTGCTTTCCGTTTCCGTTTTAGAGTAACTCACTCAGTCGGGCAGCAGTTAGAATGGTGCGGTAAGGTTTTGAGCGACTCCGGATTCTTATGGGACCGCTGCTGGTATGGATGCTGTGCATGTCCCACGATAATTCCTACCTAGTCCAGAGTTAATGGCGTCGACGCGCGTCCAGCCTCCATTGCCTTGTATGGATTGTATAATAAGTCTGGCGCGGTGTTGGCCACTGTGGTGTGTTGTAAGGGAAAAAGTCGTGATACGATGCTGCCTGGAATCTATCGCTCCGTGAATGGTTCTTTTGAGCCATTTGACTCGGAGGATTGCCAGCGTATTCTCAGGGCTGCTGCGAATGGCGAAGACACCGTGGCTGTTGGTTACTCCACGATTGTTTTGAGGACCATGGAAGAGGTGACACCAGGCGCTCAACGAGTACACATTCTAATGGTTCCGCATTTCGGGCTTCACAACGTGAAACAACTCGCCACTCCTATGGGGGTTATGGTAAGCGATCTTCCTAACCTTTCGTTCACCTGATTAATACTTTCAGTTCATGTTGTGTTGTATGGTGTGAATGAGCAGCTCTGGATGAAAATTCTTATGGATGTCCTATCAGAGGCTTACCTTAGGGAAGCAGTTGAAGAGATTGTGGACCCTGGATACTATGTCGAAACCATCAAGCCAAGACAAAGCTTTACGGAAGATACTGTCCTCGTTGACCAATTTGCTAATACTCTGGCAAGCCTTTCTCTACGCGATGCTGAGCATATCCTTGGTAAGTACAACTCACGCCAATCTCTCAAAAATTACTTGTTTGCACGTCATGTTAATGTTGATGAAGGGGAGCTGGTCCTCTGCATGGAATGCATGATTCAGTTTTGGACCTCTATTTCCTTTCATCGTCTCACGCAAGCTTCATTTCCCGTTTCCAGGTCAGATTTTCCAGAAGTTTGCTGCAGGAACGGTGGGAAAAGCTGAGCTGGTCTTTCATGGAACTCCGTCCAAGAACATCAACTCAATTATGACAACTGGAATGGATGCAAATTATCGTAGAAGTTCTCCTCTTGGGGATTGGTTTGCCAAAAGTTTGAGCATGCCCTTGCAGAAAGCATCAGGCTTTAGTGGAACAGGCACTGTGATTGTCTTCCTGGTGCTTGCGACCAGTGAGGCACTGGTGCGACATTACCACGGAGATTATGTTATCCTCAATAGCTCCAAATATCAGCTGCCACTCGCTACAATCAATGTAAGAAGATAGACCTGCCAGGAGTACATTATCATATACAGCGTTACAAAGGAAAGAAGGTTTTCGCGGAAGTGGGCACCTACCGTATGACTTCAGTATGTTGGCTCCCCTCACCCAAATTTTGAGATACTCTAAACCAACATCCAGAAAAGCAAGCAAAACGTGCAACCCCTGATTGCAGAATGTGCAAGTATTTTCACATACGGTAAGCAAATTCCCCAAGAGTTGAATGGGTTATCTTACCTTTTTCTCCGTTTTCATGACTACTACTATGCATTCCAGTGGAGATTTATTTACCACTCGTAGAAATAGCTTCGTATAAAATGGCAATCACAGTAGTTAATTTGCAACCCACAGAATGAATACTCGAGCAAAGTTATGTTCCTACCTCGCATCAACCACCATGTGTAGGACTTGATACAGCCACCATGTGGTGACTTGATCCGATGTAGGAACGCACCCTTAAACCCTAACAATATGATACCCTAACCTACCCCACATCTGTAGGACATGCAGTACCATCCACGATCACTGGTAGCAGCTGGCATGCTGCAGAAGAGCTAAGCAGCACCCCAAGGAGGCTGGCACAGCAGGTGTGGGACTATGCTGCCAGCACTGCTGCCAGGGGCGAGTAGTCGTATTGCTCTGGCGTATGGAGATGGGGTGGGGATATAGGGACGAGATGATACAAGAGGTGATGGTACCAAGTGAGAAGAGGAGAGGAGAGGAGAGAAGAGGAGAGAAGAGGAGAGTAGAGGAGGGGAGAGGAGGGGAGACGAGAGGAAAATGCAAAAACAGAGCACAGGAGAAGGGATGAATGGGGGTAACAGAGGTACTGCGTGTGCACCAGTTGCACGAGCTCACTACCCCACTCCACCACCATCCCTTGCTGCTGCCGCCATGCCCCCTGCCATACCCACTGCCATGCTCACTCACTGCCTGCCTACTACGCTACAGCCAACCAGTCCCAGACTTCTCCAGACTGCCCCAGACTGCAGCAGACGCACTCATTGCGCTCGCCACTCACTGCTGGCCTGGCTGCAGGAAGAAGACCCCAGGGTGGCCCAGTCAGACGACGACACGCAGCCCATGAGGCAGGCCACAGTGTAGGGCGCCGTGCTGCCATTGTGCCATACTCACTGCCATGCCCACTCTCATAACCACTCACTGCTGGCCTTGCTGCAAGAGGCGGAGCCGAGGGTGCCCCAGTCAGACGACGCCACACAGCCCTTGAGGCACGCCACAGTGTAGGGCGCCGTGCTGCCATTGTGCCATACTCACTGCCATGCCCACTCTCATAACCACTCACTGCTGGCCTTGCTGCAAGAGGCGGAGCCGAGGGTGCCCCAGTCAGACGACGCCACACAGCCCTTGAGGCACGCCACGGTGTAGGGCGCTGTGCTGCCGACATGGTAGTGGTAAAACGCCGGCTCGCCCCCACTGCCGTTGCCCACGTGTCCCCCGCACTCATCCAGCCCAGAGGGCAGCGCTCCCCCTGCCCCCCGCGGGCCGTAGAGGGGAATGCCGTCTGCTAGGAAGCCCACGAGGGGGGAGTGCTGGCCGGGGGCGTCCTGCCAGAAGGACGAGCTGCGGGGGAAGGGGGGGGGGAGGGAGGGGGAAGGGAGGGGGGAGGGAGGGGGAAGTGAGGGGGAAGGGAGGGGGAAGGGAGGGGGAAGGAAGAGAGAAGGGAGAGGGAAGGGAGGGGGGAAGCCGACGAGGGGGGAGTGCTGGCCGGGGGCGTCCTGCCAGAAGGACGAGCTGCGGGGGGGGGGGCAGGGAAAACGGGGGTGAGGGGAAGGGAAGGGAAGGGGGGGATGGATGGTTGGGATGCGAGGATTGTTATGAGGTAAATGACACGAGGCAGCTCATGGTACATGGAACATATAGTTGAAGCATGGCTGGTTATGGAAGGAGCAGCAAGTGAGCTGCGGTGACGAAAGGAGCAGGTTGGCACGAGTGACATGACTGGCAGCAGCGGCTTGACATAACCAGCAGCGGCTGCCTGGCGGAAGATGCAGGTGGAGAGATAACAGGGAACGTGAGGACTGGGAAGCCAGGGAACGGGGGAACGGGGGAGTTGGGGGAACAGGGGAACGGGGGAAACAGGGGGAAGGGTGAATGGGGGAACGGGGGAACGCACGTGCAGAGCTGGAAGTCGGTGGTGCGAGAGGCGGAGATGGCAGAGGGGTTGGCGAGGCCGGGCGCGACGTGGTAGTGGTACTGGCCCGAGGGCGTGGGGTGCCCCCCACACGTGTCAAACGTGGCGCCCTCGTACTGCAAGGCGTCCCTCCCCAGGGCGTCACATGCACTGCGAGCAATGGGGAGGGCAAGACACGGGAATGGTCGTTATTTAGCATTTAACGAACTAGAAAAAAAGAGGCAGTAGGGTGCCCTCCACACGTGTCAAACGTGGCGCCCTCGTACTGCAAGGCGTCCCGACCCAGGGCGTCACATGCACTGCGAGCAGGAGAGTGAGACACGGGGATGGGAGATGAGGGGATGAGATGAGGGTGAACAAGGGGATGAAGGCGTGAGAGTGAGACACGGGGATGGGAGATGAGGGGATGAGATGAGGGTGTAACAAGGGGATGAAGGCGTGAGAGTGAGACACGGGGATGGGAGATGAGGGGATGAGATGAGGGTGAACAAGGGGATGAAGGCGTGAGAGTGAGACACGGGGATGGGAGACGAGGGTGTGAGGTGGGATGCACAGCAACATGTAAAGACTGAGAGGCGCATCTTCATACTGCAAGGAGCAGAGCAGCTCACGCACTGGGAGCAGTATGAAGAAACTTTTGAGTTGAGTCGACTCAAAAGTCACCGCAGCACGCACTGGGAGCAGTATGAAGAAGCAGTAGGGGCACGCACGCCTCTCAGTCTTTGCTGGGAGCAGGGGAGCCATACCAACCCCCCTCCTGCCCCTACTCTCTCCCCGCGCTAAAACCCCCCTCTTCCCCCCCTTTTCACCTGTAGAAGGGCACGCCGTTAAGTGCGAAGCCAATGGGGCCCATCTTGCAGGAGCCGCGGAGGGCGACGGGAATAGAGGTAGAGGAGAGCGTGGGGGCGAGCGGCACGGCAAAGGACAGCGCCTGCTGCAGCGGCGAGTATAGGGTTGCCTGCACCTGCCAGTCGTACCCCGGACACCCGTTGCTTGCCATCACCCTGGCATTGGGAGGGCGGAGGGGGACGGAAGGTGGGGAGCAGAGGGAACAGCGCAGATTCGTGAGTCAGACTTCAAAATAAAACTAAGGAGAGCGCCTGCTGCAGCGGCGAGGCGAGTACAGGGTTGCCTGCACCCCCCAGTCGTACCCCGGACACCCGTTGCTTGCCATCACCCTGGCATTGGGAGGGGTGGAGGAGCAGGGCAGGGGGAATAGGGTGATGGGCGGGAGGAATGGGGGGCAGGAAAACAGATGGAAAGGAAATGCATGAGGATGTGGGGACGTGATGGCTTGAGCGTGCAAGCAGAGTGGCAAGGCAGGCAAGGCAGCATGGCAGAGCGGGTGGGTGGGTGGGTGGGTGGGCGCACCTCTTGCCATTGCTGCTCGTGAGCTTGGCGCTCCTGCTGCTGCTGCTGTTGCCACACGCACTCCCACCCGATGACCCGCTGCCTCCCCCCATGCCCCCTCCGCCCATGCCTCCTCCCCCCATGCCCCCTCCGCCCATGCCTCCTCCGCCCATGCTTCCCCCGCCCATGCCTCCTCCGCCCATGCCTCCTCCCCCCATGCTTCCTCCCCCCATGCCTCCTCCGCCCATGCCTCCTCCCCCCATGCCCCCTCCGCCCATGCCTCCTCCGCCCATGCTTCCCCCGCCCATGCCTCCTCCGCCCATGCCTCCTCCCCCCATGCTTCCTCCCCCCATGCCTCCTCCGCCCATGCCTCCTCCCCCCATGCTTCCTCCCCCCATGCCTCCTCCGCCCATGCCTCCTCCCCCCATGCTTCCTCCCCCCATGCCTCCTCCGCCCATGCCTCCTCCCCCCATGCCTCCTCCCCCCATGCCTCCTCCGCCCATGCCTCCTCCCCCCATGCCTCCTCCCCCCATGCCTCCTCCGCCCATGCCTCCCCCGCCCATGCCTCCTCCGCCCATGCCTCCTCCGCCCATGCCTCCTCCGCCCATGCTTCCCCCGCCCATGCTTCCTCCGCCCATACTTCCTCCGCCCATGCTTCCTCCGCCCATGCCTCCTCCGCCCATGCCTCCTCCGCCCATGCTTCCTCCGCCCATGCCTCCTCCGCCCATGCCTCCTCCGCCTATTTCCCCTCCGCCCATGCCTCCCCCGCCCGCGCTACCCGGTTGTCCGCTCATTCCGCCACCTCCTTGCGAGCCCAACCCGCCCTGTCCGCTCTGCCCGCCGCTCGTCGCCCCATTTCCGCCACCGCCGCCGGTCCGGGGGGGGCGGAAGAAGGACCAGCTACCGCCTGTCCCCGCTCCCCCCACCAACCCGCCGAACCTCCCCGCGAAACGCGGAAGGCCGAGCGAGCGCGCGTTGCACGCGGCGTGATCCACGCGCGCGAAGCAGAGGAGCGCGAAAAGCGCGAGGGCGGGGACGAGGCGGGACGAGGCGAGGCGAGGCGGCATCATGGCGGGCGGCGCCGCAAAGGTCTAACAGAGTGGCGCGGGTGGAACGACACGAACCTGCTTTCAACTGGAGGTCACTCCGAGGCGATTGCGGCAAGTGGCGAGGTGAGGCGAGGCGAATGGGTGTGGGGAGGCAGGCGAGACAGGAGATGCCCGGATTGATTTCGGTGAACGCGAAGGATGATTTTGGTGTGATTTCGGTGGGCGACGCCGGTCCGAGAATGAGTCGAACAGGGCGATGATGATGCTGAGATGGCCGCGGGGGATTCTACAGCCGCGGCATGCAACGAGACTCGAGAGGCGGCAGCGCTGGGAAATGCCTCCAGCGAGCCCGCTATTTCTACTTCTACTGCCGTCGCCGGCAATGCCATGAGTCCAAGCCGCCACTCGACACGTATCAGGAGAAAGGCTGACGCGCTGCCGTGAACTCTCTAGATCGAAGACCGTCTATCCGTGAGTCAACGGGAATTCAGTCAACGTGGAAAGGACAGGAATGGGAGGAGAAAAGGGCGGACCACGAGTCAAACTTCATTTTCAGTTCATGGTAAGACACTGTTTGGGTCGGTGAGTAGTGGTTCAAAGCAGTTACGAGAGCAAACTGCTCTGGAGTGTATAGCTGTTGCTCCTCCCTAGCTCTGCATTCAGGTTAACGTCCATATAAAACTAAGATAAATACAACACTTAGAGTTTAGAAAGTTGGCACGTGTATAGACCAATGTTGTCTTTGTAGTAAGTCCTAGGGCCATTCCAGCACGGTGAAAGGATACATTGCAAGTTCTAAAAATATACAGTACGGTACGACGCCTCCCTGACACGAGGTCACTGTGACGCGCGGTAAGGAATGCCCCCTTATTCTACACATATCTTACGTCCCAATCCGAAGCAAACCGCACTTCAGACAGCTAACTACTATGTGGGGCCAGCAGTGCCAAATGCACGGAAGTGAAGCAACTGCTCCATCGAAATCGCTCCGAGTGCCCAACGTGTCAGTTAGTAGTACTTGCTATCTGGCAGTCCGTTATTTCTCTCATGATGTCACACGAGACGGCCATGCACCTCTCACGGCGTTCCCAAGGTTACCACTTACCGGAGCGCGTTTCTGAACTCTATGGTGGTCATGTTATAACTTTGTTTCGGCCTCACCTGATTACATTCTTCGCTCTGACAAGTCGACCTGTTTTTTCAGGAAAGTCGGTAACACAATGTTCCCAGGAATCTATCGATTGGTGAATGGCGTTCCTGAGCCGTTCGACTCCGTTAGTTGCTACCGAATTCTCAGGGCAGCTGTTGACGGTGAAAATCTCGTGACTCTTAACCACACCAAGGTCGACCTGAGTACCATGGAGGAAACCGTGCCAGACGGGCGAATAAGAAATATTCAGATAGTTCCACATCTTGGTAAATTCAGCTTGGCACATTTCACTGATGTGGAATTCGGCGACGGAGATTGGGTAAGCAGTTTCTTGAGTAAGTGCACAGTCTCACAATCTTATTCCTGTAGCTCGTTCTGTGAGCAGCTTTGGACGAAGATTCTCACGGAGGTTCTTACCACGACTTATATCGAGGCGGCCATCAAAGACAAGATCGAACCTGACCATTACCTTGAGTCGATCAAGCTAAGGCACAGCTTCACTAACGATACAGAGCTTGTTGTGCAGTTTGCGGGATCACTTGCAAGCCTCCCACCGCATGACGCAAGGGACGTCCTTGGTAAGCTCCATGCCATCCACACCAGAATTTTTTTAAACCAGAATCCTAGATGTCCGCGCGTGCGTGCGCGTGTGTGTGTGCGCGCGCGTGTGTGTGTGTGTGTGTGTGTGTGTGTGTGTGTGTTTCTCTGTGCCAAGTGTTCTTGTTGTGTGTGTGTTCTTTGTGACTGACGTGGATGCATTTGTAATTGTCCAGGGAGGATTTTCCAAAGGTTTACGCCAGGATCAGCTGGAAAGGCTGAATTGCTATTCCATGGAACACCATCTCACAATATCCAGCCTATCATGACAACTGGAATGAATCCAGCTTATCGCAAGAGCAAACCTCTTGGGGATTGGTTCAGCAGGACTCTCAAGTGGACCCATGAGAAAAGCAGGTGGCACTGACAGAAAGCGCACTGTCATTGTTTTCCTTATCCTGGTCACTGACGAAGCTGTGGTGGACTATAGGGACGAGTATATCGTCATCAATCACTCCAAGTATGAGCTCCCTTTGGCCACAATCACTGTTTATTGAACTGGATGTGGCTGTAATGGGTAGCTGTGTACATACAGTATCTGTAATAAAGCAGCAATCACTTTTCGTCTGTATGTTGCAATTTGTGCAAAATGATAATTCTTAGGGTGCATTCCTGTGGAGACACAAATGTCTCAATCGCTTTGTGACACACAAAAACAGCATAAACTGTAGTGTGTCCCAATTGCGAGTCGCATTTCCGCGACCATTACTGTATTTTTTATTGGTCAGCGTGAAACGCGCTGACGTCGCTGACGAATTGTAATCTGACTCGTCAATGTGAAAAATTCGCACGCTGCTCGAAATGTCAATGCACCTGGACAGCCTGCAATGCCAATTTCGTGCGGGAAAAAAACCCGCTCGTCGAAACCACACCCCAGCCAAGCGGTTGAAAAAAGGGATGTACAGTCATTTGTGTCACCCAAACAAATGCGCACAACTGTACATCTCGCCTGGTCGCCTAGAGTCGCGATACATTGGTTGTTTGTGACAACATTTGGCAAATTTACAGGCGCGACTCGGGAAATCGGGGATTGAGACACAAGTGTCCCCGCAGGAATGCACCCTTAGCAAGCCCACGTTTCATAAACAGCATCAAGTGGAACTTCCAGGTACCAGCCCTTTTTGACCAACTGGAACATTGAGATTGCAGCCAGATAGCAAATACGGTAATACCGTAAGGCACATTATCTGAGAGGATTCCAATGGATTGTGTTGCTAGTGCCCATACTGATGCACACGTGATCAAGCCTCTACTACCACACCACTCCTGTTGTAGAGAAGCAACGGTTGTTGAGAGCACGATGCACCACTCAATACGGCACATTCTTCGGAAGGTTCCAGTTGATATTGTTGTTCATGCCCACACTCGTGCGGAAGCGCTCGAACCTCTCCCGCCCCTTCGCTGTTGCATCCTTCTGTTTCTGCTGCTGCTGCTGCTCTGCCGTCCGCCACCCCAGCTGCCGCGTTGCCAGCCCCATGGCTCGATACCTGCAAAGCGGGAAGGGGGAGATGGAATGTAGAATCGCCGGCATAAGAATAATTGCTGCTTCAGCTGTTGCTTCTGCTCTGCCGTGTTGCCAGCCCCATGGCTCGATACCTGCAGAAGGAGAAAGGAAAGGTGGGGTTTGGGGGGGTGGAACATATGATTGGGACAGAAGTGAGGAACATGCTTGCACTGTGGCAGCCCTGGGCTTTGCTCCCTGGTTCGCCACGCAGCCCATGCCTGCCACATTAGCAGCCCGATAGCTCGGTACGTGCAAGGAGATGAACGTCCAGGCAGGGGGAGGGGCGGGGGAGAGGAGGGCGGCACTGTACAATACAATGAACGTGAAACGAGAAAGGTGGCTTTTGTTGGCTTCTGCCGGTCTGCAGTTGGCCAGCAGTTGCAAGTGTAGGTACCAGGAAGAAATAGGGGTGAGAGGAGGGGGGTGCCAATACCAGGCAGTGAATCCATGGGCAAATTCATGCCAAGGCACACATTGGCTGGGTGGCGCTATTGTTTTCCCAAGAATTCATTTTCTTCTTTAGGCTTGTTTGATGACTTCCAAATTTGCTCAGGTTTGTTAAATGACTTGCACTCACCTGGCGAGCACCGATGCCACGAGGCGCGTGTTGCTGTCTCCCGTCGGTTTCAGTTTCTGGCGATAATATCTCGCGAGGTCCCGCGAGCCAATCACGCGCTTCGTGCCGCATGCACCCTTATCCGCGCCCCTGCTCCCCTTTCCTGCTGCTGCGTTGAAGATTATGAGCTCCATTCCCCCGCTGGTGAGCGCCACATGCGGACGGTCGTTGTCGGCCACAATAAGCTCGCGGCTCGTGCCTTCCTCGTAACTGGGGGAGGTTGAGGAAAGGAGGAAAGCATGTGAGAAGGGAGGAGAGCATGTCAAAATGATGAGCTCCATTCCCCCGCTGGAGAGCGCCACATGCGGACGAGCGTGGTCAGCTGCAATGAGCTCAAGGCTCGTGCCCTCCTCGTAGCTGGTGGAGGGTGTGAAGGGAGGAGAGCATGTGAAGGGGGACGAGCATGAGGGAGAATGATGAGCTCCATGCCCCCGCTGGTAAGCGGCACATGTGGACGAACGTTGTCGTCCGCAATGAGCTCGCGGCACATTCCTTGTATCTGGTGTAGGGCGAGGAAGGAGGGAAGCACGGGGAAGTGAGAGGGGGAGAGGGCAGAAGAGGTAAGGAGCAAAGTCGTCAGCTGCAATGAGCTCACGGCTCGTGCCCTCCTCGTAACTGGTGGAGGGTGCAAAGGGAGGACGGCACAGGGAATGTGAAAGTGCAAGGAAAGCGAGGAGAAAAACGTGACAGTAAAGTTGACTGAAAATTGGGGTTGGAAGGGAGGAGGAGCGGGAAAAGGAAAGCAAGAATGGGTGAGGGCCAGTCAGACATGGAGGAATTCGTGTAAATAAGTGTAGATTCGGTTGATATTAGACGTTGTCGATACGAATTTGAAAGACGCCCATTCCCATGTGCAAAAAAAATAATGGCACTTTCTTTTCCTTGCCTCACTTGGATTAGGGCCCATTCAACACTTTCCAGTACGGAAATGCCCTTCACACTCCACCCCTTTACAATGCACTCCTCTCAGCTTGCACACTCCCATAAGCGCCGTCACAGCTAAACCCTACCCCCTGAACCTTGAACACTACCGCCACAACGCACCTTTTGCTGAAATCGTAGAAGCCTTTTAGCTCCTCTTCAGCCACGCCAGACCCGTCCCCATACCGCAGCTTAGCATGGCTCTTCGCTTCCATATGCGCCCTCACAGCCTCTACCGAGCTGAACTGCCAACCCTCCTGCACCCTGACTTTAAACCCCAAATCTTAAACCCGCAAACGCTCCTGGTACTGAAGTCGTAGAAATCTTCAAGTTCTTCCTCCGCAACCCCAGAGCCATCCCCATACGGCAGCTTAGCATGGCTCTTTGCTTCCATATGCGCCCTCACAGCCTCTACCGAGCTGAACTGCCAACCCTCCTGCACCCTGACTTTAAACCCCAAATCTTAAACCCGCAAACGCACCTGGTACTGAAGTCGTAGAAATCTTCAAGTTCTTCCTCCGCAACCCCAGAGCCATCCCCATACGGCAGCTTAGCATGGCTCTTCGCCTCCATATGTGCCCTCACAGCCTCTACCGAGCTGAACTGCTTGCTTCTATCGTCACACCACAGGCACATGCGCCCCTGGGTCACTTTCGCCGCCAGGTACTGTAGCATCCCTTGCAGATCCGTGAGGAACTCCATATCGGGGATGAAGAACCCGTGGTGCCTGTGCATGTGCTCCACACACTCGTCCACCCCACCCTTGCTCTTCTTGTCGCAGAAAAAGCACTGGGATACGTCCCACTCCCCTACTCCCTCTCCCTCTCCTTTGCCCTTCACCTCCCCCTCCTCCCCTTCCTTCCCTTCTCCCCCCTTGCTTCCTTCTCCCTCCTCCCCTCCCTCCTCTCCCTCTTCTCCCTCGTCTATCTCCTCCCCTCCCTCTGCCAACAACGCAGCAGCCTCCTCTTCATCCACCTCTTCCCACTCCTCCTCTTCCTCCTCCTCCTCCTTCTCCTCCTCTTCCACCACCCCCTTCCCTTTATCCTTAACCCCGACGCCCGTTTCTCTCTGCGCCACCACCACCGGTTTCGCCTCAACCCTCCGAATCACAGGCCTGGAAGGGTCCAAAACCCCTGAACCCTGAACCCCTGCCCCGATAATACCTGCCCCAGTTGCACCTGCTCGCGCGGCCGCCACAGCAGCAGCAGCCTTGGAGGCGTGTAGCTTGGACCGCAAGTGACTCGCATGAGCTGATTCGCTATTGTACTTCTTACTGCAAACCACGCATTCGTATATCAACCACCCGCCAGCTGCTATTGGCGCTCCTCCCCCTGGCGGAACCCCCCCCGACGCACCTCCGCCCACATCCCCCCCTGCTGCGATGTCCCCCGCAGCGGCTGTAGCTGCGGCTGCCGCCGCCGCCGCTGCTGTCGCCGCTGCGACCGCGCCGCGCTTCCCCCCTGAGACGGCGGCGGCGGCTGCTGCTACGGCCTCCTTGCGTTTCTCAAACCACTGCTCGGTCACCCCGGGGAGACCTGCTACCTGGTAAACGAGGGAAAGACGAAAGGAGAAGAAGAGAAGAAGAAATTCGTGAGACGTATCGCCTAGGGGTAAAAATGCTCAAGAAAAGCCAGCGTCCTAGAGCTGATCGAACCACGTCTTAGTCACCCTTGAAAGACCTGCTACATGGTAGAAGAGGGAAGCGGAGAAGAATGGACATGACAAGGAAGAGTGGGAGACGCATCACCCGGGGGTGCAAATCTTAATGGAAAAGCGGCCATTTTGCGCTTCTCATAGTACTGCTCAATCACCCGCTAAATCTCGCAGCGCACCTTTCGCTTGAGGTTGTAGCGGTGCCAGTCGGAGCGATAGTGCGCGTTACGCGTCGGTCCATCGTCGAACGACGCGTTACACGCGTTGCACTGCATGGCTCCCGATTCGACCCCGATTTGCTCCCGATTCCCTCTGATATCGTAAGCGCCTTAACAAACACCCACTGACGACCACTCAGCTACTCCCGATTCGTTGGCACTTTTCAGATATGATGAGCAAGATGCCGGAATCCAAACGAGTTAATTTCAAGCGGCTAAAAAAATGTTCAGCAAGACGCCGGCACGCTAACACGCAGCCACGCAAAATTGCGGCAGCAATTGCTGCCACTGGTAATCCGCAACGCTAACGGGAAACCAAGAATGCGAGCTACGAATGAAGCATGCGCTAGAGACACTCGAATGCGGAACTAAACTGCTAAATACTGCGGAGGTGGGGAAGGATCCTAGCAGGATGTCCAAAACCCAGCCGAAGGTTCTGAACATTGGCGCGACGCAAGAAAAGAGCCGAACCGAACCGAACGGACTTCTATCGAACCGAAGGAAGCATCCGCACGGGTTTTACAAAACCTCCATGTCTCACTTTCTCGACAAAGAGGTGACTTCCTCCACACGGTTCCAAGGATCTCTTTAGGACCGATCACTTTCATTCTTCTCACATAGCATACTATATAGTTGAATGATTTAGCGTGTTCCTGCGGCCACACTTTCAGGCAACCTCGTATCAGATTCGCGTCGAACCGCACGAAAACGCATCCAACCGTAGTCAAACACACTGAAACGTACGTATTTCACAACGCGAAGCTGATACGAGGTGTGTCTGATATGAGGTGTAGGAACACGCTCTTACGGTACTGGAAGGCCGAAAGCATATCAAGAAAATTGCCTACACTTCTTTGAGGCTAAGAAGACTATAGTACCTTGGTCCATGCATTACTTTTCAAGCATCAGCAAACGGATATCCGCAATCTTCATTATAAAATAGATTGGAAAATTCTTTTGTTGTCAACCAATCGCCAACAAACTTACATTCTAATACGATTAACCTTTGTAGAAAGTGCAAGGACAAGTGACATGTCACTGTCACATCATCGCTATCCCAATCGAAGGAAGATGAATGCAACATGCAGCCGATCAGTCCACCTTGGCAACCTCCCCTCCTCCTGGCACCGCAGCAGCGCTCTCTGCCATCTGCTCGTTCATGAACCTGGAGCGAGAATGGGATATGAGGGAGGAAGAGGCGTCAGTGCAGCACTCTCTGCCATATGAGACAATGCAATTCTCTCAATTCACATTGCCCCGCCCTGCCCGGCAGTGCAGCAGCGCTCCCTGCCATCTGCTCGTTCATGAACCTGGGGAGAGAAAGACGGCAGGGAAGGGAGAGGCGTGAGTGAGGAAAGGCCTGAGCCCATCTCTTAACAACGCATTGCTCCGCCATTCACTCCTCCGCAAGCCTGGGGAGAGAAGGGAGGGAGAGAGGGAGAGGTGCGAGTGGGGAAAAGAATTACAACTGCCACTACAGCAGCGCTTTCAGCCATCTGCTCCTTCATAAACCCCGGGAGAGAAGGACGGCAGGGAGGGAGAGGTGTGAGTGAGGAGGTAGGGAGGGAGAGGCGTGAGTGAGGAGGTAGGGAGGGAGAGGCCCAGCTTGGTCCTTCTTTATGGCCTAAAAGAAACAAAACCCCGCACTGTGGGCCATCTGCTCGTTCATAATTCCGGGGAAGAAGTGGGCACGGAGAGAATAAAACATCGTCATGTCTGAAAATCCGGGCTCTGACCGTGGAGGAGAGGTGTGGACTTCGAGAGTCGAAGTAGGAGGATAATAAGGCCAGATGGTTTAGCCTTGAATGATACATCGTTTGATAGCACAGCTTAGGATAATCGGGCTTACTTGGCGAGCTTGTCTTTGGACGACTGGAGAATGTAGACCGCAAGAAACGTCGTGAGGATGAAGGCTGGGGGAGGGGGCAATGTCGAAAAAGGGGAGAGGTGCACAAACGGTAAGTGTACATGTTTTATTCTTTAGAGTGGAGGAGAAGGGAGAGTCATGAGTAGTGAGACGAGAGTAGTGGAGGCTACTTGCATGAAAGGAGAGAGATTGACTGAGCTCGAGATAGGTTGATCCTATAGTATTATTATCATACAAATAGGGCTGTGCGTGAGCTGGTGAGAAGGCTTTTGAGGCGCCTCAAAAAGTCGTCTCATTACCCGCAATTTTTTTTTAGGCGCCTCAAAAATAGTTTTATTATCATACACATGGGGCTGTGCGTGAGCTGGTGAGAAGGCAGGCATGGCAGGCAGGGAAGGAGAGGCAGGGAAGGAGAGGCAGTGGAGGAGAGGCAGTGGAGGAGAGGCAGTGGAGGAGAGGCAGTGGAGGAGAGGCAGGGGAGGAGGGACAATAGGAAAGAACATGCTTACTTGAGGCAAAGAGCACGAGGAGACCTGCTGTGACGTCTACCTCTGCATACTCGTTCCTGCGGGGGAGGGGAATCAGGCACAGATAAGTCAGAGAGAGAGGCAGAGGGGGTGAGGGGATTAGAGGCAGGGAGGAGAGGCAGGGAGGAGAGGATGAGGGGCAGGGAGGAGAGGCAGGGAGGAGAGGATGAGGGGCAGGGAGGAGAGGCAGGGAGGAGAGGATGAGGGGCAGGGAGTGAGCAGTGGGATGAGAGGGGGGAGGGGATGAGAGGCGGGGAGTGAGCACGAGGAGACCTGCTGTGACGTCCACCGTGCATACTTGAGCCTGCGAGGGAGAGAGAGAGAGAGAGAAGACACAGATAGAGGCAGAGGGGATGAGGGAAAGAGCAATGGCACACAGATAAGACAGAGAGCACAAGGAGACCTGCTGTGACGTCCACCGTGCATACTCGAGCCTGAGAGAGGGAAGGCGGAATGACACCGAGAGAGAGAGGCGGAGAGGATGAGGGGCAGGGAGGAGAGGCGAGGAGGGCAGCAGCGAGGAGAGGCAGAGGGGGGACACGTAGGAGCAGCAGCGAGGAGAGGCAGAGGGGGGACACGTAGGAGAAGCAGCGAGGAGAGGCAGAGGGGGGACACGTAGGAGCAGCAGCGAGGAGAGGCAGAGGGGGGACACGTAGGAGCAGCAGCGAGGAGAGGCAGAGGGGGGACACGTAGGAGCAGCAGCGAGGAGAGGCAGAGGGGGGACACGTAGGAGCAGCAGCGAGGAGAGGAGAGGCTGGGAGCACGTGTATTTCATGGGCACGTGCATTAGCCAATGCTTGAAGCAGACAACATAAACCCTCTAGTACACCAACCCAAGACTCCACCATCCCACCATGCATTTCACCATCCCATCCCACCATCCATTTCACCACCCCATCCCACCATCCATTTCACCATCCCATCCCACCATCCATTTCACCATCCCATCTCACCGCATCTCACCACACTGAATCCCCTCTCACCATGTGTAGCGCATGAGCACGTGTTTAGGCCAGTGCGACTCGTTTCTGAACTCCAGAGCCAGCTGTCGATGCCGCTCCAGATCTGGTGGTTGTGTGGCATGCATGGCATGGCATGGCATGGCATGGTAGGGACGCGAAGGGAAATGAAAGGGAAGGGAGTACGAAGGCAAGGATGGGCAGGGAAGGGCAGGGAAGGGCAGAGAAGGGCAGGGAAGGGCAGGGAAGGGCAGGGAAGGGCAGGGAAGGGCAGGGAAGGGCAGGGAAGGGCAGGGAAGGGCAGGGAAGGAAACACTACTCACATGCCCCACCACACCTCACATGCCCCACCACACCTCACATGCCCCACCACTACTCACATGCCCCACCACTACTCACATGCCCCACTGCTCACATGCCCCACTCATACTCACATGCCCCACCACTACTCACATGCCCCACCACTACTCACATGCCCCACTACTCACATTCCCCACCACTACTCACATGCCCCACCACTACTCACATGCCCCTCACATTCCCCACCAATACTCACATTCATGTGGTAAGTTGTGCACCTTCGCCTGCACTCCCCTCAAATCGCCTGCGAAGTGGGTCTGTACGGATCGAGGGACGGTTTGGGGAGGAGGAGTTTGTGAGAAAAGAGGGCAAGAGAAATGGGGTTGAAGAGGAGTGTCTGGGAAACAAGAGAGGCAGAGAGAAGGGGGGATACGGTTTAAGCGGACTGTAGGGAGAATTAAGGAATGGAAAGTGATAAGGGTGAGGGCAAGAGAGAGGAGCAGCAAGAGAGAGGAGATCATGTGTGTCATGTTATGTGCGTGCGCGCATGCGTGCGTGCGTGTGTGCGCGTGCGCGCGCGCATCGATGTGTGTGATATGTTCTAAAAGGATTTCTAAAATGCTGCGATGCGCACAACCCCCTGAGTCCCCTTTCACAAGGGGACTCATATATTTCAATTCAATGCCAGGGTAACCTTGATCGTACCCACTTGGGCGCAGGGTAACCTGGATTGTATACTACTCACCAGGGTGACTTCAATGAGTGGCACGTTCTGGCTCTTCCGACCAATCACAAGCAGCCATGGCGTCACAAACTTCTCATTGCCCACTGACAGAGACCTGAGAGGGAGTAGAGGAGGGGGTAGCGGTGGGAGAAGTGGTGGAGGGGAGGGAAGGGGGGGGGGGGGGGGCGGGGGAAGGGTGAGAAGATGGAACGAGGCAACAGAAGGCAGCAATTCCGCCTTGCGGTTTCAGGCACAAAGCAAGGCGTTGTAGAGAGAGCATGATCAGTGCAAAGCAGAGCAGCATGCTTACTTTTTGTGAAAAAATCCAAAAATAACGTACATCTTATACGAGTGCTCTGCCATCTCGAACCCCACAGGCCGCGGAATGGGCAGAGCCACCTGACGCAGGGGAAGAGGGCAATTAGAAGTGAGTAGGGCAGGAAAATGGGCTTTGGGGCAGGAAAAGGCGGCTATTGGTGCGTCTTAAAATACACCTCAGATTTCACAGGGCGTATCAGGGGAAAACGGGATGGGAGGGGAAGGAAGAGAAACGCAGGAATAGGCGGCGGGGAAGGTCGAGAAAGGCAGGGATAGGCCAGAAAAGGCAGAGAAATAAGCAGGGGAAGGAGAAAAAAAGCGGGAAATGGGCATAAAAATTGGGGCATGAGGCAATAGGGCATGGCATGAACTCAGCAGGGGTAAACTCTCACAGCTGTTTCCCCCCTGGCTCGATTGTCACCCACCCACCCACCTCTCGGTTGATGCCGAATCGCGGGCAGTGCCGTCCAATGGCGTCGTGCCAGTGCGTCCGCATCTGCGGAAGCAATCAGCGCGGCACACGTGGCAAGGAGAAGGGGTGAGGGAGAGAGGGAAGAAAGGGGGGAAAATTTGAATTCTGGGAAGACGTTTCGGAGCGGGAAGAGAGGGGAGAGGGAGCAGGGGATGCGAACGAATGGGAGAGAGCGGGGAGAATGATACCACGCTAACGGTAACGGAGCTCACGGTAACGAATCTTACATTGTTGAACTGGCCTTTCCTGGCCAATTTTCTAAGAGCTTCAAAATTCGTCTCACGGTAACGAATCTTACATTGTTAAACTGGCCTTTCCTGGCCAGCGGCACGTAGTCTCCCACTTGATACGCCGAGGCGAGACGCGCCATTGTAATCAGGGCCACGACGAACGGTAGCAACGTCCTCCTTATAAGCTCCATCGCTTCAAGCAATAGTGAAGTTCACAAATTGTGGGAAATCCCTCTACGATCCGCACCTAGTTACAAAAACCAGTCACAAAACCGGTCTCAGAAAAATGGCAAGTGATGTCGTGAGAAACAGCTGCACTTATCTTAAGCGGCAGCTACCAGGAAAAGAAGTGGCTACAAGCTATTCGGCAGATTCGCTAATCGCGGTTGGAAGGACTCTAGGTTGAATCCACGAGAGGACAGACCACGAAGAGAAAATAACTAGGCCAAGGAGCTTGGATTTTGGAATTCAGGCTTCGTTTGATGGGAAGTCCTCTCCCCAGCTTGGCAGTCAGATCCGATTAGAACTCAGTTTCCGCAGGGCATGTTTTTACGCTCAAGTTTCAGACCATCACACACAGTGTCGTGAACTTGAATGGAAACGCGTCGTTACGTTACGTACTGGGATACAGTTACCTCGTCACCCTCGACAAAGTGGTAAACAATGAACAAATAAAAACAATGTCACTAGTTAGACATCTGATGAGTGCCAGTGGTCTAGTGGTAGAATAGCACCCTGCCATGTGCCCGGTGCAGACCCGGGTTCGATTCCCGGCTGGCACAGGTTGTTTTGCATTTCGTTGTTTTCGTTTCGCGCATTCATCTGCCGTGTTTCGCGAAAGTACTACATTTCGTCGATTTCGTGCCATAACAAAAAACACTTGCACTGCTACGCTACGATTTTGTCGCTCTGCCACATTTGAACACCCTTTGTTAGACCTCATTGCCTTACCTGTTGTTCAAGTCTCGGTTATAGCCTCATTCCACGTGCTCATCATCCCGCAAATCTCTAGGTTTGGGCTCTAGGTTCGGGGGAACGCACCGCGTGTGCTGAATCCCTTGGCCAACGAACCTGACAGGTTTCCCGCCGCACTCGGTATTCCCGATTGCGGCGGACACTCGAGCATTACGCGCTTCCAGACCATCCCACCTTGCTGGCACATAAACACACGTGTCACATTCTAAGTCGCCGCTTATGAAACGGACACTCGCTCGACACCCCGATACCCCCAAGGCAAGGCGACGATGTCGCCATGGGCCCCGATCATCGCAAGCCCTCGCAAGCCCAACCCGCAGGCCTCCCAGCAGCGGCGATCGGCAGGTTCCCCTCCTTGCGTCGCTCCCCCTGCCAGCCTCCCACCCCTCGCGTGCCTCTCGTCACATTCTCGCGCTCGTTCGCTCTCACTCGCTTCTCACCCGACGCTCCCACCAGACGGAATTAGTATAAGTAGACCTTCAAGTTTTCTGTTTCATTCATCAGTCTCGACTTTAAGCTACTTGCTATCTTACTCCTCTCGTTACCAGCTGTTTAAGCCTGCTTGAGCTCTCATAATCTCACGTACGAACTCTGTCGCGGAAAGCTTAGCTTAACTTCCTACTCTCCGTCCGTCAACGACATGGCTTGCGTCGGTGCTGAAAACGCCTGCGTGGACGTCGACGCTCTGTTCGCGAGCTGCTGGGAGCAGAACGACTCCCTCACTCGCTTCGTCTGCAGCATGATTGCAGCTCCACGCCTGGTAAGAACCACTTCCGCCAAGCGATTCCCTTCGTTCCCGCAATCACTCGTCTTCTTTACCAGGAATTGTTTGTTCAAATGTGTTTCATCATTTGTTTGCATCCCACGTCATGACCCTTCTCTTTAATAGCAACTAACCTTATCGTTCTTTTCTCGTGCAGGCCGTCTCAAGTTGGATCAGGCCGTGCGAGAAAGCAGCAGTGGAGGTGCAGTCGGTTCTCGCTCTCCCTGTTGTCGCTCTTCTGGAAGAAACTAAGTCAACGGAGGCAGAGGCAGAAACCGTCAACCATCCCACTGAAGCTTGCAAGGCGGATGCTGCAGCTGTGACTGCTGCCGTTTTGATTGAGGCTGAAAAAGCTGAGCAAGCTAAGAAACCGGCGGAATTGAAAAAGAAAGTGACTTCGTTCCTGGAGCTGCTTGCTCAGGAAGACTTTGTTGCCTCTCCTACGGTTAAGGCTGTTGCTTCCTCATCCAAGGTTGCGGCCTGGTTGGGTGTGGAAGCTGGATCAGAGCAGGGTGGGAAGGGGGGAGCAGAGGCGAGCAGCGGGTGGTGCAGCTTGAGTCGCAGTGAGAGCAGCTGCAGCAGCCGCAGTGCGTGTCTCATCCACCTCTCCTCGGACTCCTCCTCCTCGTCCTCCTCCTCTGCTAACAGCCTCTGCAGCAGCCCCACTGGCTTGACGGAAATAACTGGTGTGAAGAGGGGGATTGGCCGAGGCGTTTCCAGCATTGGGAAAGGATGCTCTCTGTCCACTCCCTACCATTTCACTGATCTCTTGGCAGCTGAGGAAGAATCAGTGAAGAGTGGGATCGGTATGGGCTTTTTCTGCAGTGGGAAGGACTGGAGCATGGAGGTGAAGGGGTTTGGGAACGCGGAGCAAGGACAGACTGTCTTGAATCTTCTGTATGGGTATGATGATGAGGAGGAAGAAGAGGATGGCAGCAGCAGAGAAAGGTGCAAGATCTCTGGGACCGGAACAATGTGTTACATGAATCAGCTGTATATGGATGAGGAAGAGGATGAGGAGGGGAAGGCATTGGCGGCATCAGGCATCTCTGTGGGCATCGGCAGGTTTGGAGCCAGGCGGAGAATCACTGGCTCTAGCAGCCGGGTCACTCTCCGGGGGATCAGTGGTGCGCTGAGACAGTTCTAGGTGGCTATTCACTAGAGATTTCTTTACTAGGTGTAATAGCTGTGGCTTGAACCAGAGAAACTGGACTGCCACAAATAATAGCATGAGTTTAGTAGAATCTTCCGTTACGTGTACATTATATTCAATAAATACCTTCAGCAAACTGACTGCCACATTGTCACAAAGTGGTGCATTATAAAAAATCTGAAAGGGATACCATACCATCGTCATGCCTTGATGGACTAGACCTCTATACTCCAATCCAGTTCTCACAAGTTACTTACATAAATTTCCAGAAACTTCTGCAGCCGAGCCACTCCTCCTGAGAAAACTGGTTCACAGAGACTCATTATTTTAACTGAATCTTTCACTAGGAAAAACGATGGTGTGAGGAATATGAGCTGTATTAACTTACCCCAGTATTCATGTTCGTTCATCTCCTGTTATAAATTCAATTTAAATATGCACAATTGCTGTGTTTGCCAAAGTTGCAAAATCTGTACTGGAACCTATGATGTTATTGGCATGAACTCTTACTTCGAAATGAACCACAGATAACCGCAGGCCCGACAAACCACCCTCAACTTTATCGCTCCCCTCCCACCTTGAACCCCTCCCTCCATACCTCACTCCCATACCTGACGTCCAAGCTAGGTGATAAAGTCGACCCATCTGCTCATCATGCCGCAAATCTCTAGGCCTGTGAAGTAGGTTCGGGGAACCATACCGCGTGTGCCGAGACTTTCGTCGGGATACAAACCTTACCTCTTTCCCGCCTTCTATATATTCTTGTGCCGCTCGGTACTCCCGGTTGCGGCGCATACTCGAGCGGTACGCGCTTCCAGTCGACCCCACCTTGCTGGCACAAGCAACACGTGTCGTTCTCTGAATCGTCGCTAATGGAGGCTCGCGCGACACCCCGATACCCCCAAGGCCAGCCGACGATGTCGCCATGGGCTCCGATTGTTGCCAGCACTCGCATCGCTAGCCCACCCTCAGGCGTTGCAAGTTCGCCCAGAGCGACCATCAGCTGGTTCCCCCCTGTTTGCCTCACTCCCTCTGCCACCCTCCTAACCTCCCGGGCCTCTCGTCGCATTCCCTCGCTCGCTCACTCCCACTCGCTTCTCAGGCGACGCTCATCAGAGTCGCTGTACCCACCAGACGGAAATAGTATAAGTAGGCCTTCAGAATTTTCATTTCATTCATCAGTCTCGATTGAAGCTACCTGCAAGTTCTTTTACCTTGCTCCCTCGTTACTATCAGCTGTGTAAGCCTGCTTGATTGCTCATAATCTCGCGTACAAGCTCTGTCGCGGAAACCTTAGCCTTCCTTCCTTATTCGTCCGTCAGCAACATGGCCTGCGTCGGTGCTGAGAGTGCCTGCGTGGACGTCGATGCTCTGTTCTCGAGCTGCTGGGAGCAGAATGACTCTCTCACTCGCTTCGTCTGCAGCATTGTTGCAGCTCCACGCCTGGTAAGAACCACTCCTCCACGCCATTCGCTTCAGTTCTCGCAAACCCTCGTCCTCTTTACGAGCAATGTTTTGTCCATATTTAAAATCGGTTGTTTTCTGGTTATGTCATGACGCTTCTCGTAAACAGCAGCTAACCTATCTCTTTTTCCTCCTGCAGGCCGTCTCCAGCTGGATCAGGTCGTGCGAGCAAGCAGCAGTGGAGGTGCAGTCGGTTCCCGCTCTCCCTGTTGTCGCTCTTCCTGTTGCCGCTCTTCTGGAAGAAGCTGCGTCAACGGAGTCAGATGGAGAAATCATCCACCATTCCACTGAGGCTGGCAAGGCGGACGCTGCAACTGTGACTGTTGCCGTTTCAATTCAGGCTGAGGAAGCTGAGGAAGAAAAGAAACCGTTGGCGTTAAAAAGGAAAGTGTCTTCGTTCCTGGAGCTCCTTGCTCAAGAGAACTCAGTAGCCTCTCCTACTGTTAAGGCTGTTGCTTCCTCAGCCAAGGTTGCGGCCTGGTTGGGTGTGGAGCACGGTGGGAAGGAGGGAGCAGAGGAGAGCAGCGGGTGTTGCAGCTTGAGTCGCAGTGAGAGCAGCTGCAGCAGCCGCAGTGCGTGTCTCATCCACCTCTTCTCGGACTCCTCCTCCTCCTCCTCCTCCTCCTCCTCCTCCTCCTCCTCCTCCTCCTCCTCCTCCTCCTCCTCCTCCTCCTCCTCCTCCTCCTCCTCCTCCTCCTCCTCCTCCTCCTCTGCTGATAGCCTCTGCAGCAGCCGCACTGGCTTGACGAAGGAGGTTGCTGGTGTGAAGAGGGGGACTGGCCGAGGCGTTTCCAGGATTGGGAAGGGATGCGATCCGTCCACTGCTTACCATTTCGCTGAGCTCTTGGCAGCTGAGGAAAAATTAGTGAAGAGTGGGATGGGTAAGGGCGTTTTCTGCAGCGGGAAGGATTGGAGCACGGAGGTGAAGGAGTTTGGGAAGGTGGAGGAAGGACGGATTGTCTCAAACCAGTTGTTTGGGTCTGATGATGGGGAGGAAGAGGAGGAGGAAGAGGATGGCAGTAGCAAGCAAAGTTTCAGGACCCTTGGGACTGGAACGATGTGCTACATGAATCAGCTGTATATGGATGAGGAAGAGGAGGAGGAGAGGGAGGCATTGGCAATGTCAGGCATCTCCGTTGGCATCGGCAGGTTTGGGGCCAGACGAAGAATCACTGGCTCTAGCAGCCGGGTCACTCTCCGCAGAATGAGCAATGCTCTGCGACAATTTTAGATAAGTCTCATTGTTGCTGTAACAGTTGTGGCTGGAACCAGAGGTAAATGGACAGCGCACATAGAATAGCAGTTAGCGTGGCTGAAACCAGAGAATCTGGATTGCCACTAGTGTACAATGTATATAAATATTTTTACTGTAAACACTTGATCATGTTGCATGTGTAGGATCCGTTCATGTCTGCTGCTAACAAACGAGGAACAAAACATGTCTGAATAAGTTCAATGCCACCATCCCTGGAGCCATCCAGGAACAGCAGCACCTAGGGAGCTCCAGCCTTCCAATTCGGAATGCTCCATGTTGCATCGTTTATCATGGAAACCAGCTTGAACTGAAATAATTGAAATGTGAAGTGGAGACGAAGGGACAGCTCCACCCGCACGGATGAGGAAGTGGGGTAAGAGAGAGCTACTTGCTTACGAAGCGAATTAGGGATCCATTGCAACAGGAGAGCATGATTGGTGCAGACAAGAGTGTCGAGTGTAGAAAGAATAGAGTCTAGAAATCTGACACAAAACACCAGAAGGTTGCACAAACGGCTATGCTTACAACAGAAGGGGCAGCTCCTTTGGGTGGGAGGGAGAGGTTGCGAGGTGGTGCTGTGTTGAAATCCCTCTTGTCAAAGTGCCAGGGACCCACCACCCCTGGAGTCATTGTTCCCTGTGATGAAAGGCAAGAAACATATAGGCAGGAAAAACAGGAAGGAGAATGTCATGAGACGTTTGGAAAAGGTGCTGTTGCGTTTGTTTGTTTGTCTGATTATTTTTCTTCTTCATATGGTTTGTCAACGTATTATGTATCCACCTCCGCTCGGGTGACCTTTTGCCTGGGATGAAGAGTGAGGTGGTAAAGCAGGAAGGAAAAAGGATAGCTGGGAAATTGACAATTGACATTCACACACCAAAGGGTAGTTCATACTCTGACATTCAGGCAGAAATTTGAGACTGATTTGCAACTTTACAAAAGAAATTGTAACACGATCAGGGTCAATTTGGTTATATTCACGATGCTGGAACTACAACGAGGTTATTAAGTTGCCCAGATGCAGTTGCTCCACGGATATCCATGTTTCAGAACCGGAGTTAGGGTCGAGATGCAGAACAGCTTGGGATTTGAAACTCCTTGCTTCAAGGTAGAAGTTACCAGTGGTTATATAATGGATGAGGTGACAAGTGCAGTTACATACATTTAAGGCAAAGTCACAGCCGTATGTGTAGTGGATGAGGTAGGAGTCCCCGGGCTTAGTATCCCATGGTGGCTGCAGCATTCAGCATATGGCATGCCCACCCATGCACCAAACACCGCGACCATGCACCATGCACCATGCAGCACGCACCATGCACCAAACACCGCGACCATGCACCATGCACCATGCAGCACGCACCATGCACCATGTAAGGAAGGGGTGGAGAGAAAGAAACGCAAGGTCAAGTGGAGGAAGCGGAAAACCCAGGTCAAGCAGGCAATAAGGATGGCAACACAATCAATGATTTGTGAAGCTTAGGAGTGAAACAAGGAGAAATTGTGACCCGTAGGCTTGCTCCGGTCAAAACTCTTCCTATTCTTGGACAAGTAAAAACGTATCGGATGGCTGACTCGGCTTTCCACGCAACGAATGAGTACGAGGCAAAAGAAAGAAGAAAGAACTAACAGTGGAAGCATCCCAATCAATAAATAGGCACAGTATCAGCGGCACCGTTACCATAACCATGCAAATAGTCAAGTCAAACAACTTCCCCCTGAACCACCTGATCGAGGCAAACAACCACCTGATACATCTGTGAAACCACCTGAAGCGCGCAAATAACCACCTGGATCATCCACATGCGGTGTAGAGTGTGCTGTATCCCCAACAGAGCAGCTGACGTGGCATAACCGTACCTGGAAGAGATTAAGGAGAGGGGTAGGAGTAAGGGAAGGGGGGAGGGGAGGGGGAAAGGAAGCGGAGGGGTGACGAAGGGGAGGAGGGTAGAGGACAAGTGGAGGCGAAAGGACGGAAAGGGGGAAACGAAGGGCAAGAGGGAGCAGTTCTAGAGTTTCTTATATTTTGCAGAGAACAAAGGAACGAGGTGAGAGAGGCTATGGATCATGCTTGTTACTACTAATGCACACACTCTCACACACACCACTCGCACACCACTCACACACATTTCCAGCACCCATCCGAACGCCTTATCAGCCACTGGATCAGACTTCATCTCGAGAGTCACGTTGTGCCACAGCGGGGCGAGGCGACGCAGAAAGTGCTGTGGAGGGGGAGGGGGAAAAGAAACCGAGGGGGGGAAAGGACGGGCATATGTTCATGCGTGCTGCCTTGCCAGCCACTGCATCGGCCTTCATCTCAAGAGTTACATTGTGCCACAGCGGGGTGAGGCGACGCAGAAAGTGGGGGGAAGGAGAAGGGGAGAAGAGAAAGGAGCGGGGAAGAGGGGCACATGTGCATTCGTGCAGTCTTGTCAGCCGCTGCTCTGCCTTCATCTCGAGGGTCACTTTGTGCCACAGCGGGGCGAGGCCCAAACCTAGTGCTGTGGGAAGAAGAGAGGGCAGGGAGAGGGGGCATAAGCACACAGGCATATGTGCCTTGATGCTGCAGCATCTGCCTCTATCTCGAGAGTCACTTTGTGCCACAGAGGGGCGACGTGACGGAGAAAGTGTTTAAGAACAGAGGCATGCGGCAACTGGCGGGAGAGGGCAGAAGAGGGCAGGAGAGGGCAGGCCAGGGCAGGCCAGGGCAGGACAGGAGAGGAGAGGGCAGGTACTTTGTTGAAAATGAAAACAGGAAGTTGCAAGTAAAAGAGAGAAGCAAGCAAGGCGCCTTGTGGATGATGACAGGAGAGAGCTGCAAGTTGCAAGTTGCAAGTAAGAGCCGTATCTAGTGCCCCGTCTTGGCAGTGAGCGGACGAGAGAAACAAGGCAGAGCAGGATAATGACGGGGCGAGAGGCGAGAAGGGTACCTTGTGGATGATGGCAGGTTGGCAATGGGGTCGATTCATGAGGGAACCAGCATTGCAGCGCCCCTGATAGTGTAAGTGTGGTCTTGAGGATTCTCACGAACAGCCTGCAACAGGCCCTTACCTTGTGGATGATAACGGGGGAGTTGCCGATGGGGTCGATCTTGTTGATGGGGCCGCACTGAGTCCAATCAAAAGTCACCGATATGCGTGAGGCAAGCAGCAAGGCGGGAGAGGACTATGCATGGGGCGAGAGGCGAGTAGGGTACCTTGTGGATGATGACAGGGGAGTTGCCGATGGGGTCGATCTTATTGATGGGGCCCTTTTCCGGAGGGAACCACCGGTGCAGTGCCGCTGGTGGTGGTGGTGGCAGTAGGTGTGGGGGCAGGATAGGATAGGCAACACGTGAGGCCAGCCAAACGTGCATGTGTGCCCTAGAGCGTCGATCTTGCTAATGGGACCCTTATCCAGGAGGCAAGAAAGTCGATCTTATTACTTTTACCTTCTCTTAATTCTCTTCCCTTCTTTTTAGTTCTCGTTACAGTCCCATCTCGTTACATGCTAACTCCCGCACAGTCCTCAGCCACCCGTCCTCAGCCCCCCACCGCGGAATCCCGCAGAAATTTGTGCGGCGGGAGGCTGAGGACGGGGGGCTGAAGACTGTGCGGGAGTTAGCATGTAACGAGATGGGACTGTAACGAGAACTAAAACGAAGGGAAGAGAATGAAGAGAAGGAAAAAGTAACAAGTATGGTTCATATTGTAATATAAGTGCAAAATCTGACATAAAATTCCAAACCCCTACTGCTCCCTCACGCCCCACCTTTATTCTTGGCTAGTTCAATATAGTGAAAGGGAGAGGCGAAAGGGGGCATGAGACGTGACCCTAACAGGAAAGGAGCTGCTGCTGCGCCCCAATGCATTCAAACCCCTACTGTTCCCTCACGCCCACCTTTACTCTTGGCAGGTTCAATGTTATGGAAGGGAAAGGTTGAAGGGGGCATGAGATGTGACCAACATGAAAGAAGCTGTTGCATATCAATGCTTTCGAACCCCTACTGTTCCCTCTCGGCCACCATTATTATTGGCGGCTCAATGTAATGGAAGGGGAAGGCGGAAGGGGGCATGAGATGTGACCAACAGGAAAGAAGATGTTGCATATCCATGCTTCCAAATCCCTACTGTTCCCTCACACCTACCTTTATTCTTGGCGGGCTCGATGTAATGGAAGGGGAAGGTGGAAGGGGGCATGAGATGAGATGTGACCAACAGGAAAGAAGCTTTTCCATATCAATGCTTTCAAACCCCTGCTGTTCCCTCACACCCACCTTTATTCTTGGCGGGTTCAATGTAATGGAAGGGGAAGGCTGAAGGCATGTCGCCCACTGAGAGGTTGGGGATGGGGCGCAGAATGAGGTGGTCTGGCTCTGCCATCCATACATAGCTATGAGGGGGGTAAAGGGGGGAAGCATGGGGCGAAGGGACGGGGAAGGCTGAAGGCATGTTGTCGCCCACTGAGAGGTTGGGGATGGGGCGCAGAATGAGGTGGTCTGGCTTCGCCAACCCTGGTCTGGCTCCGCCATCCATACATAGCTGTGAGAGGTGGGGAAGGAACAAGGAAACAGGGGGGAGAGCTGTGAGTGGGTGTGAGAGGTGGGGAAGGAACAAGGAAACAGGGGGGAGAGCTGTGAGTGGGTGTGAGAGGTGGGGAAGGAACAAGGAAACAGGGGGGAGAGCTGTGAGTGGGTGTGAGAGGTGGGGAAGGAACAAGGAAACAGGGGGGAGAGCTGTGAGTGGGTGTGAGAGGTGGGGAAGGAACAAGGAAACAGGGGGGAGAGCTGTGAGTGGGTGTGAGAGGTGGGGAAGGAACAAGGAAACAGGGGGGAGAGCTGTGAGTGGGTGTGAGAGGTGGGGAAGGAACAAGGAAACAGGGGGGAGAGCTGTGAGTGGGGCGCAGAATGAGGTGGTCTGGCTCCGCCATCCATACGTAGCTGTGAAAGGTGTGGGGAGGGGGGGGGGGGGGGAGGGGGGGGGGGGAGGGGAGGGATGCACATTGGAAGGGGAAGGGGAGGTTTGAGTGGAGTCAGAATGAGGTGGTCTGGTGGTTCTGCCATCCATACATGGTTGTGAGATGGAGGAGGCGGGAGCGTGGTGCGAGGAGAGGGGAAGGGGAAGGTAGAGGGCGTGTTGTCACCCACTGAGAGGTTGGGGATGGGACGCAGAATCAAATGGTTTGGCTTCGCCAACCCAACCATACATAGGTGTGAGGGGGGGGAAGGGGGGGGGGAAGGGGGGGGGGAAGGGGGGGGGGGGGAAAGGGAGGGGGGAAGGATAAAGGGGGAGACTGGAAGTGAAGAAAAAAGAGGTCAAGTGGGTACGAAATCAAGATGAGATGGTATGGTAGAGTCCCGACTCTGCCATCCATCCATCGCTGTGAAAGGGGTAAAGAGATGGGGGAAGGGGTGAGTGGGGTAAGGGGCAGGGGGCGCGATTTTGGAGAGAGGTGATCACATGTGGTGACATGGGTTGACATGCGGTGACATGTGGTGACATGTGGTGACATGCTAGGGCATGCGATGGCATGCAGCGGCACGCAATGATGGCTGGCATGTGGCGATATTCTATGGTATGTGATGGCATGACATGTGATGGCATGACATGTGATGGCATGTGGAGCTTACTCTTCAGGAAAAGTGGCTTGTTGAATCCACTGCACGAACGCGTATGGACGATTCAGAACCACATAGTCCTGCCATGTGACATGGCCAAGGGATGGGCAAGGGATGGGCAGGGGATGGGAAAGGGATGGGCAAGGGATGGGCAGGGGATTTGTAAGGGATGGGCAAGAGATGGGCAAGGGATGGGCAAGGAACGGGCAGGGTATGGAAACGATATGGGCAAGGGATGGGCAAGGGATGGGAGATGGCAAATTGAAGATTAGACCCGAACCAGAATTACATGTGAATGACACCCGGATAATACCTGAATTTAACCAGCAATACACTTGATTACACCTTGACTCCGTGCCACCCCCATTCCCCTACCCTGACCCCCTCCCCCCGCACTGCCCCTCTCCCTCCAACCAATCACCAGCCCAACAGGAATCCACATAATCCCCTCTGCACAATCTGCTTCACCAAGCAGTCAATCCATCCACCCATGCATCCATCCCCGTTACCCCGTGGCACCGTTTGTTGCTGCGGCGGCAGCGGGTTGACGACGAAGGTCGGGATTTCCCCCATGAGCTCGTCTTCCTTCCCCGTGTGCAACACGCGTGTAAATCCCCCCATCTCCTCCCCGCCCGGCTCGCCCTGCCATTTCTTGTAATAAAAGTACATGACTCGCGACTGCCACTTGCTGTAACCCGAACTGTCGCACGTCATCGCCGCGTGGAATGGTCGCAGGGGCCCGTTTCGCCGGATTGACCGCTTGCCGTTTGCCGTGTCGGCAGGCCGGCTGATGACAGGCAATTCTGACTGTGACGTGGAGCTACGTCCGTCGGGTTTGCCGGTGCGGGCCTGACGCGTAACGGAAAGCTGATTTGCGTTATTCGAAGAGATTTCACTAAGGGGGTGACGGAGGGATCGACGGTGAGGGACCACGGCGGTAGAATTGTCCAGAAGCATCGTCACGAAATTAAAAGCCGCGAAGAACGACGTGGAGAACGCTATAGCGAGGATGAGCCCGGACACACGAGCCATGGTGAGGCTCAAACGGATGAGGCGTTCAGGTACGAAACGGAGGTTGTGTACGAGGAAAAAGCGATGGGATCGCCATTACCGAGGTTCTATCTGGACCATTTTTCCTCGCCTCCTGGGATGCAATGCAATCGAGCTAGTCAAGAAAAACAGGCAGAGGGGTGTAAAAGCTGAGGACGCGTTTATTCGTCCGAAATAAATGCACCCAGGTCATGCTTTGTCTCACCCGTGGGGTCAGATTCTCGAGGGCAGCCTGCACTGTATGCAGACATTCAACACTCAAAACCCTTGCATGTGTGTTACTTGAACATCTCCTCTCTTTAACTTCGATCTCCAAACCGTCAAGCCAATGCCAGCAGGCTAGGGCTGATGGCTTGTCTTCCGCTAGTTGGGTCAGCCAGGAAATACACGTTAAAAACGGATTGTTTACGAGATTTGCGGAAGCTCAAATGTGCTAATTCAATGACTAGAGGTCACATTTGATATTTACCAATACATAGTTTATTTACTCTTAGAAACATTATTGATTCAATGAAATGTTCTGTAGCTTTTATTACTGAAGGATGAGACACACAATATATAGCTATAGCATATTACACTCACCGTCGTAACTGACAAACTATATAGCACTTTATCCACGGTTGCAACGCATGTTTCAGTAACGGGACCTAGCACCCTCAAACAGGAAATGGCTTGTCTTTCAAGCCATTACCGTTCAAGCTGCTGACAGAATTTCGTGAATCAACGCTCTTTGCGCTTGGCGTACTTTACGGAGTGCTCGACGCTCGGTGCTCGGCGCTCGGTGCTCTGATATCAATATTCGGCTACTGGATACCACCATCTTGCCGGGTCGCTTTGGGAAGCACAGGTCGCGAGTAGTAACTGAAGCTGCGAAAGTTTGACGGGAGTTTGACGGAAGCGATGGATGGCGGTGCTGACATTGACGTTGACGAGGACGAATTTCTAGTTCTCGACGAGGATGACGAGCTGCGCGCGCAGCGAATCAGCGGTGAGGAACGAGCCTGGCTGGGAGGACCAAATTAACGGCTAGAATTGCGTCGGCAGTGAGAGACAGTGAGAGATGAGATAGCCGTGAAGCGCGCCAAGCGGCGACGGTAGAGCGGATGGAGAGAAGCAGACGCATCAAAGCAGCCGTACGGCCGGGTCAATCGGAGTGGCGACGTTTGCAAAATGGCTGCTTTGCTAAACGGCCGAAAACTTCCAAGATTCGTGACACTACCCCCTTCCTCCTTCAGAAACACCCCTCACTTTCCCCCTTCCCTTTCCGGGTCATGATCTTTCCTTCCTACCTAAATTCTTATTCATTTCCGCCAGGTGAAAGGACGTCAGAGGAGGGCCACGCCCTTCGGGACTTTGTTCAGATGCAACTGAAGGGTGACCACTCGCAGCGGCCGATGTGGGTGTGCGCATGTAGAAGGGTGTGCATGAATGTCAATTCTCCCCATGTATCATCCTTCTTCCCCCCTCAACACCGTTGTTGCCACCACCAGCGGCAGGAAAAGGGACGTCAGAGGAGGGCCACGCCCTGCGCGATTTCTCCAAGATGCATTTGAAGGAGGACCACTCGCAGCGACCCACGTGGGTGTGTGGGTGTGCGTGGGGATGCACGCACGCCAAATTCACTGTTTCACCACGCTTCTTCCCCCTCCCGCCCTCCCTGCCACGACCACCAGCGGCAGGAGAAGGGACCTCTGACGAGGGTCACGCCCTTCGGGACTTCTCCAAGATGCATCTGAAGGAGGACCACTCGCAGCGCCCCATGTGGGTGTGTCCGGACGGACGAATCATCCTGGAGACCTACTCGCCCCTCTACAAACACGCCTACGACTTTCTAATCGCAATTGCCGAGCCAGTCTGCCGGTGAGTGGGACACACAAGCTGCTTCTGTTTCTTTTCCAGTTTTGGGGCATGTCAGTGTCTATCCCTCACTCAGGGGATCATCCCGGAGACCTACTCGCCACTCTACAAGCACGCCTACGACTTCCTGATCGCCATCGCTGAGCCTGTGTGCCGGTAAGTGTTCACTCTCCTAGTTCTGGGGTGTGTTGTTGATGCATGTTACTGTGTGGCTGCCTGTCTACCACTCAGCGTGCATCATCCTCGAGACCTACTCGCCACTCTACAAGCACGCCTACGACTTCCTGATCGCCATCGCTGAGCCTGTGTGCCGGTAAGTGTTCGCTCTCCTAGTTCTGGGGTGTGTTGTTGATGCATGTTACTGTGTGGCTGCCTGTCTACCACTCAGCGTGCATCATCCTCGAGACCTACTCGCCACTCTACAAGCACGCCTACGACTTCCTGATCGCCATCGCTGAGCCTGTGTGCCGGTAAGTGTTCGCTCTCCTAGTTCTGGGGTGTGTTGTTTGTGCATGTTACTGTGTGGCTGCCTGTCTACCACTCAGCGTGCATCATCCTCGAGACCTACTCGCCACTCTTCAAGCACGCCTATAACTTCCTAATCGCCATCGCAAAACCTGTGTGCTGGTGAGTGTTCGCTCTCCTACTTCTGGGGTGTGTGAGTACAACCTCACGCTGCATTCTCTTTGTGCAGCAGTGTCAGTGGGTCTAGACACCTCCACCATCATCTCACTGCTCCTCCGTCTCTTCAACACCAGGCTCCCTGCTGACATCATGCGCTGTACTTTCCTTCCCTGCCGCCCCTCCCCACTTTTCCCCCCACTTCCACAGTCCCGAGAACGTGCATGAGTACAATCTTACTCCCCACTCCCTCTATGCAGCAGTCTCAGTGGGTCTAGACACCAACACCATCATCTCAGTGCTCGACCGCCTCTCCAAGACCAAGCTCTCAGCTACTGCTGACTGACATCGTACCCTGTACCTCCCTCCCTCCCTCCTCTCTTCCCCAGTCCAGAGAACGTGCACGAGTACAATCTCACGCCCCACTCCCTGTACGCAGCGGTCTCAGTGGGTTTGGACACCAACACAATCATATCAGTGCTCGACCGCCTCTCCAAGACTAAACTCTCCCCTGACATCATCACCTTTATCCGCGAGTCCACTCAGAACTACGGGAAAGTGAAGCTGGTGCTGCAGCGCAACAAGTACTTTGTGGAATCGCCGTACCCCAATGTGAGTACTGGCCCTACACCTAGAGTCTCGTGGCAAGGTCAAGCTACCGAGTCAACACAGAACTACAGGAAGGTGAAGCTGGTGCTGCAGCGCAACAAGTACTTTGTGGAATCGCCGTACCCCAATGTGAGTCCCGGAGCCCCTTGTCACTTATCTCTCACCATAAGCAATGTATGTGCAGTGCAGAATGGAGAGCCGGCTCGGCTTGGTGCTCTGCACAGCCACTGCAGAGGTTCTCACTCACACCTGCGGCCCTGCAGGGGTTATTTCATGTTTGTTTTTGAGACATCTCGAAACCAATATGTTGACACCAGCAGCCGTAGAGGGGCTCTCACATGTGTAGCCCGTTCAGATGCGCATGAGTGGTGGATCCTTATCACATATGGATGGATGCGGACTTGCACTGGACATCAATAAGAAACCTATGCGCAAGGATGACATCAATAAGAAACCATCCATCCATCTCCACTCCACCTGCGCATACGGTCATCCTTATTCATGTACATGTCCGCTTATGTGCTCTTTCTGTTCATGTGCTCTGCTCCCGCTGTGTTTATGTGGTTTTATTACTCTTGCAGGTGCTTCGAGAGCTCTTGCGAGACGATGTGATTCGCCGAGCCAGAATCTTGCCGTCAGTTAATGCTCAGGCATGTGTGTGTGTGTGTGTGTGTGTGTGTGCGCGTGCATGTGTGCGTGCGTGCATGCATGGGAGGGAGTGGGGAGGGGGATTCCTTTTCATCGTGTTTGTGTGTGCACTCATAGATAGGGTTGCATTGTATGTGTGCTAATAGTGTGCCCTGCTCGCACGCCATGTGTTCCATTCACGAGTCTCCGCTGCGTTTAGTCTCCCCCCAGTGCTTGTCCTATGACGCTCAATGTTATTTTCAGCGTCATTCCTCCATGCAAATGCAATGGTACATTCCGTGGCCTGGCTTGACCTTGATTAGGATCCAGGCGGCGATGCCTTTGCAGAGCAGCACGTGGGCGCATGCACCAGATGCATGCAGCAGCAATAGCAGGTGAGTTTTGAGTCGACTCAAAACTCACCTTGATTAGGGCCCGGGCGGCGATGCCTTTGCAGAGCAGCAGGTGGGCGCACCAGATGCATGCAGCAGCAACAGCAGCGGTGGCCGCACATGCATTCATGGGGGCGGATTATGTTTATGGTGGTTGTCCTATGCCACCATGAATGCATGTGTGGGCACCGCTGCTATTGCCCCAATTTTCAGCAGGGGCCGGCACGGCACGTGTTTGCATTGCAGCAGGGGGGAGCAGCAGCAGACGGGTCAGCAGCATCAGCAGCGGCGGTGCTGATGGGGGTGGAGCGGGTAGGAGAATGTCTCTGGTCTGGTAGTGTTTCAATGCGCTGCGCCCCATGTGTTTCTCTCTCCCTCTACGGTCGTGTTTCTTTGCAGCAGGGGCCAGCAGGGGACGCGTTTGCAGTGCAGCAGGGGGGAGCGGCGGACGGGTCAGCAGCAGCACTTACGCATGCGCTCATGGGGGCGGGGGAGGACGTGGGCGGGGCAGCGGACGATGGGGAGTTTCACTCGTTCGAGATCGACCCCTCTCAGGTGTGTTGGCGTGTGTGTTGGGTCAGGTGCTTGGCCCAGGTGTGCTATACGTCTGCCAACCCCCGCCCGTCCCTTAGTGTGGGTGGTGGGGGAGGGTACGATGGGGAGTTCCACTCCTTTGAGATCGACCCGTCCCAGGGGCCTGCTAACTCTTGCCCGTTCGTTATTGTAGGCAGGGGAGGGGACGATAGGGAAGTTCACTTCTTTGCGCTTCTTTTTGCGCGCACGCCTGCCTTTATGCGGCCGGGGTGGAGTGGGATGGGTGGTGGATGGGGATGGGTGGTGGATGGGGGTGGGTGGTGGATGGATGAGAATGCGATGTTTTGTTGAGATCTTCAACGTTGGATATCTTTCACTCAAGTTTCTTGTTGGAGGAAACAATTGTGAGGCTGATGCATTGAGAATGGGGGATGGATGGATCGAGCTTTGTGCTGCGTGCATCTATCTACCATTCACGCTCCACGGGAGTGCAGGCAAGTGTGCAGGCACGATATATGCTCGGCACTGCACTGCATGTGCCTATCTGTGTGGTGTACAGAATGTACACAAACCTTCTTGTTACATTGTTGTTGTTGTTGTTGTAGTTGTTTTTTTTTTTTTTTTTTTTTTTTTTTTTTTCTACGTTATCCTCCTTTCGACTTTGATTTTTCTTCGGTGCACAGGTGGAGTGTGTGAAGCAGAGGTGTCTTCCCAACGCCCTCAACTACCCCATGCTGGAGGAATATGACTTCAGAAACGACTCGGTATGTGCGAGAGGAGAGTAACGACATGCACACATGTATGGCGTGCACTTATGCATGCACTCAGGTGCCCTCGCAGGCACGTTGGCGTGCACTCATGCATGCATCCCCACACGCACATGCATTGGTATCTACACATGCGATTGCGGACATTCCATGCACGTCCGTGTGTGCATGAGTAAGAAATGTAACGACGACTTTGCATGGCCCGCAAACACACACACATGTTCGCTGTTGCACACGTGTACATACACTCATACATGCACTGATACGTGCACTCATGCACACGTGCATCCGCTCACTCATGTCCTGTAGGTGAATCCAGACGTGGATGTGGAGTTGAATCCACATGCTCAGCTGCGGCCGTATCAAGAGCCACATGCTCAGTTGCCCAGTTTTTAAGTGTTGCACCCTTGTATGCACTCATCCATGCACTCATGTCCTGTAGGTGAATCCAGACGTGGATGTGGAGTTGAATCCACATGCTCAGCTGCGGCCGTACCAGGAGTTGCTACATAGCCACTTGACCTGTTGCTAAATGTTGCACTCATCCATGTACGCATGCATGCAGGTGAATCCTGACGTGGACGTGGAGTTAAAGCCACATGCGCAGCTTCGGCCGTACCAAGAGAAGAGCCTCAGCAAGATGTTTGGCAACGGTGAGATGAGAGATGGTTTTTTTTTTTTTTTTTGCCAACCAGAAACTCTGACGGTGATGGGGATGTAACAGAAACGCTGACGGTGACGGTGGTGTAACAGAAACGCTTAGTCTGCCTCCCCAACCCTTTTCCACATGCCTTGCGGTGCATGCACGTCCCTTGTGGTGGGTGGGCGTGTCAGCAGCCATGCTCATTCGCAAGAGCTGCCTTTTCTCTGTTGCCATCGTCAGTGCCCACTGACAGAACCCTCATCTCATTCATTCTTCTCTTCTCTGCTTCTCCTCTCCCTCTTTCCCTCCCTTTGTGCCCCAGGTCGAGCGCGCTCATGCATCGTTGTGTTGCCGTGCGGTGCAGGCAAATCCCTGGTGGGAGTGTCAGCAGCGGTGCGCATCAGAAAGAGCTGCCTGTGCCTGGCGACCAATGCAGTGGCCGTAGGCAACGCTCCCAACTCACCATGCTCCTTCCTATCATTTGTTTTACCCTTCTTGTCTCAGGTCGAGCGCGTTCAGGCATCATAGTGTTGCCGTGCGTAGCAGGCAAGTCCCTGGTGGGGGTGTCAGCAGTGGTGCGAATCAGGAAGAGCTGCCTGTGCCTGGCGACCAATGCAGTGCCTACTCACAGAACTCTCGTCTCGTTCATTCTTCTCTGCTTCTTCTCTCCCTTTCTCCCTCCCTCCCTTTGTGTCTCAGGTCGAGCGCGTTCAGGCATCATAGTGCTGCCCTGCGGTGCAGGAAAGTCCCTGGTGGGAGTGTCAGCAGCGGTGCGCATTCGAAAGAGCTGCCTGTGCCTGGCGACCAATGCAGTGTCGGTGGATCAGTGGTGCCTGCAGTTCAAAATGTGGTCCACGATCAAGGATCAACATATCTCAAGATTCACCTCTGATACCAAGGAGATGTTCCAGGTGAGTTACACTCCAGCGTGGGTGTGTTTCTGAGGCGCCACACGCAGTATCAGTGGATCAGTGGTGCCTGCAGACTGCAGTTCAAGATGTGTTCCACGATTAAAGACCAGCATATCTCGAGATTCACGTATGATATCAAGGAGACGTTCCAGGTGATTAACATAGGGGTGCCATACTGCCAGTATGTTCCAAGTGAGTTGCGTTGCATTGTGGGTGGATTAGTGGTGCATGCAATTCAAGATGTGTCCCTTGACTAATATCCCATTCTCTCACTCACCCTTTCACTCACTCGCTTCCCTCCCTTTGCATACAGGGCGATGCAGGTATTGTGGTAACCACGTTCAACATGATTGCGTTCGGAGGGAAGCGGTCGGCAGAATCGAATAAAATCATCGAAGCCATCCGATCGCGCGAGTGGGGCTTGCTGCTCATGGACGAGGTGCAGTGCGGTTGAGTGGGATATACTTGGGTGGAATGTAGAAAGAGGGGGTTGGCTAGTTAGCAGCAGTATGATAGAATGAATAATTGACACATAGTTAGAGGGTTGGTGTGGCATGCCTCTCGTCTCGTTTCGTGCTTATCGCCAATGTGTGCATGTGTTTTCTATGCATATGCCCCCCATGCTGACGTGTCAGGTGCACGTGGTGCCAGCTCAGATGTTCCGGAAGGTCATTGGCATCACCAAGTCGCACTGCAAGCTGGGATTGACAGGTGAGTCAACGCAGGTCAAACCAGGCAAGGAAGCATTGTGGGTCATTGGCATCACCAAGTCACACTGCCATTGCAATCACACCTCAATCTCCTCGTCAACCTCGCCATTCATTTCTCTTTATATCTCTCCACCTCAATCTCCTCTCCACATTTATCTCGACATTTCGCAACCTCAACTTTCATCCGCTCCTACATCCTTTTGAGATGTCTAAAAAATAAAATTTCTACACGTGTCAACATTTCACAGCCTCAACTTTCATCCACTCGTACATCCTTCCCCTCCGCCTCTCCGCCTCTCTCCAGCCTCTCTGGTGCGAGAGGACGAGTTGATTGCGGACCTCAACTTCCTGATTGGTCCCAAGCTGTACGAAGCAAACTAGACTCACGTCTTAGCCTTTCCTTTCCCCTCCCCTCCCCTCCCCTTGCCCCCTCCCCTTCCCTTTGTCCCCCTCTTTCCCCAGCCACTCTGGTGCAAGAGGACGAGCTAGTCGCGGATCTCAACTTCCTGATTGGTCCCAAACTGTACAAAGCAAGCTGGACTCACCTCCTCCCCTCCCCTCCCCTCCCCTCCCCTCCCCTCCCCTCCCCTCCCCTCCCCTCCCCTCCCCTCCCCCCCCCTCCCCCTCCCCGCTTCCCTTCTCCGCTTCCCCTCACCTCTCCAGCCACACTGGTGCGAGAGGACGAGCTGATAGCACACCTCAACTTCCTGATCGGTCCCAAGCTGTATGAGGCCAACTGGACTTACCCACTCCTCCTCCCCTCCCTCTTCTTCCTCTCGCCACCTCACTTCACAGCCACTCTCGTGAGAGAGGACGAGCTGATAGCAGACCTCAACTTCCTGATCGGTCCCAAGCTGTATGAAGCAAACTGGCTGGACCTGGTGCGAGGGGGGTTCATTGCCAACGTGCAATGCGTGGAGGTGAGAGACTCTAGTAGTGGGTGTGCCAATAATGAGCGTGCAGGTGAGAGTGTGCGGATGATGCAGAGAGGGACTGCGGATACAGACACTGTTCGAGGCCAACTGGCTGGACCTGGTGCGAGGGGGATACAGACACTGTTCGAGGCCAACTGGCTGGACCTGGTGCGAGGGGGATACACCGCCAACGTGCAATGCATGGAGGTGAGTAGGGGGTGTGGTGATGCGTTGAAGTGAGACGTTGGATGTGATGTGACAACAATGGGGGTTGGGTGGGTGGGTGGATTTCGGAGTTGAGAATACACCAACATGCTCCTGCATCAGCATTTCGTGTGATTACGTTGAGGGTTGAATCGTACGGAAGGGCTGTCACATTGTGACTGGGTTGTTGTGACTGTTTGGGGGGGGGGGCGGTTGAAACTCCTCGAAACGGCACCGAGAAAGGAAGCGATCTGTGCGGCTTGTCCGAAGGCATTGGCCAGAGCAGCGGCTGATGGTCGGTTCGGTGATCAGCCGTATACATCGTTCCTGTGTCTGTGTTTTCTCTTGTGCGCCTTGAATGTGTCTGTGTTTCTCTTGTGTGCGTGTTTTTGACGATGCGCGCTCCTGTTTGTATGTGCATTCATGTGCGTGCATGTGCATCTATATGTGTGCACATGTGTTCGCCTGTGTGCCTGCATGTGTGCATTGCACGTGTATGCATCCCTATTCACGCCAGGTGTGGTGCCCCATGACTCGCGAGTTCTATGCAGAGTACATCCGAGCCGATGCAAGAAAGCGCCAGGTGAGGTGACATGGGCTTTAAGGGCTGCATGTGTGCATGCATGCATGGGTGGGTGGCACATCATCCCACCAGGTGTGGTGTCCCATGACCCGCTTGTTCTATGCAGAGTACATCCGAGCCGATGCAAGAAAGCGCCAGGTGAGGTGACATGGGCTTTAAGGGCCGCATGTGTGCATGCATGCATGGGTGGGTGGCACATCATCCCACCAGGTGTGGTGTCCCATGACCCGCTTGTTCTATGCAGAGTACATCCGAGCAGACGCAAGAAAAAGACAGGTGATTGGATCATGATGGCCTTCAAGGGTGCAATGTTACCTGGCAGTCTGGAGTTTCGAGGTTTGGTAACACACAGAGGTCAACTGCTCAATCACACTCTGTCTGGTTTCTAACCGATCGCCCCGTCACACGTGTGCTCACTCACACTCTGTCTGCCACGCTCGTGCCTCATGCCTGAACCAAGTGCAGTGCAAGTAGCATGCCCCTCTCTTGATGGTATTTGGTTGATTTCTTAGAACTGCCAATTACTAACATGGTCTTGAAAAATTTCCCCACTCACTTTCGATTCACGCTGTCTGCCTCTAGCATCACACCTTACGCCGGAAACAAGCCGCCTTGCGCCATATCCCCCCTCATCCTCCTGGCCTACAGGGCCTGTACGTGATGAACCCCAACAAGTTCCGCGCGTGTGAGTACCTGATCCGCTTCCACGAGGAGCAGAGGGGGGCGGGACAATAATCCCTCAAGCCACGTTCCCCCTCCTCTTACCTGCCACCCACACCCCAGGGTCTGTACGTGATGAACCCCAATAAGTTTTGCGCATGCAAGAACCTCATTCGCTTCCACGAGGAGCAGAGGCAGGACAAGGTCACGCAGCACTTTCCAGTGTACCCAGAAAAACCCAGAAGTACGCAAAGCCGACTCAAAGCAATTCGTCCACCCATTCCCCTCCCTGCCCGTTCTCCCTCCCTCCCTCCCTTCTACCTCCCTCCAGGGTCTGTACGTGATGAACCCCAACAAGTTCCGAGCATGCGAGTACCTGATTCGTTTTCACGAGGAGCAGAGGCGAGACAAGATCATTGTGTTTTCGGACAACCTGTTTGCTCTGGAGCAGTATGCGCGGAAGCTCAACAAGCCCATGATCTACGGGCCTACCAGGTGATGCACGGGCCTACCAGGTGATGCACGGGCCTACCAGGTGAAGCCTGTGCTTGAAAAACAACATACTTGCCAGGTGGGTCGTGACTCACAAGGCGCATACATCATCGTGTTTTCGGACAACCTGTTTGCCTTGGAGCAGTATGTTTGTATGACTTTTGAGAATTCTCAAAAGTCATACAAATATAGTTTGCCTTGGAGCAGTATGCCAGGAAGCTGAACAAGCCCATGCTTTACGGCCCCACCAAGTATGTGTGTGGCTGGTGAGGCGCATTTTGAGGCGCCTCAAAGTGACGCGCTTCAAATACTGCTATTAGGGCTGCCGTTTCGTTTGAGACAACCTAGTTGCTCTATGCCTTCAAGAAACGACTGCTGTTGAGTCAACTCACAAACCCCTCCTTTCCCTCTCCCTTCTTCCCCTCCAGCCATGCAGAGCGCACTCGAGTGCTCTATGCCTTCAAGAACAGCCCCAACGTCAACACCGTCTTCCTCTCCAAGGTACCGCCCTTTGTTTCCATGCTGTAGCTTGGAGTACCGTCCATGCACAACCTGCTGTGACCCTCACTCACTCAGCTTCATCCACACAAATCGCACCCGAGTGCTCTATGCCTTCAAGAACAGCCCCAACGTCAACACGGTTTTCCTCTCCAAGGTACCTCCTTCCTTCCCTGTACACATGCCTTCTCAATTATTCCCACAGAAACCACCCCCCTGACGTGCGTCTCCTCTTGCGATGCTCTATGCCTTCAAGAACAGCCCCAATGTCAACACCGTCTTTCTCTCTGAGGTGCTTCCCTTCCTTGTACGCGTGCCTCTGCTATTCCAACACAAAGCACCCCCTTGGGTTGGGAGCCTGTGTATCCAGATGACAATGCTTCCATCCCCCCCTCGCCTCTTCACGCTTCTGTTCCGCTCGCCGTCTCCTTCCCATCCCATCCCCTCCCATCCCAACCCACCACTCTTTTTCACCGTCCCATCCCATCCCATCCCAACCATAGGTGGGCGACAACTCTATCGACATTCCAGAGGCGAACGTGATCATCCAGATCTCATCCCACGCGGGGTCAAGGAGGCATGAGCCACAGCAGTTGGGGCGGCTTTCATCGTCTCTAAGTGGCATTTCCCTCTGTTTCCCCCTGCGCCACTCTTCACTGATCCACTCCTCCCCTCCTCCCTCCCATCCCACCAAAGGTGGGGGACAACTCGATTGACATTCCAGAGGCCAACGTGATCATCCAGATCTCATCCCACGCGGGGTCAAGGAGGCAGGAGGCGCAGCGGCTGGGGCGCATTCTGAGGGCCAAGGGGCGGAAGGAGGACCGGATGGCGGGCGGCACGGAGCACTACAATGCGTTCTTCTACTCGCTGGTCTCGACCGACACTCAGGTGATTTTCCAGGTGGTTTCAACAGGGCCCGGAGTTGAGGAAGGAGGACCGCATGGGGGGTGGCACGGAGAGCACAGCAACACGTTCTTCTACTCGCCTCTGTCAAGTGACATGCAGGTGATTCTTCAGGCGGTTTCAACAAATGTGTGGTGTTTTGGTTGTCGAGAGGTTATCTTGTCACCTGTTACCTTCTTCAGGATATGGCTTCGCATGTTTACTCATCAAAGTGCTTTTATGTGTTTGTGTGTGCTTGTACGTGCGTGTTTGTGGGCTTGTGCGTGCGTGTATGTGTGTGCGTGTATGTGTGTGCGTGTATGTGTGTGCGTGTATGTGTGTGCTTGTATGAGCAGGAGATGTATTACTCGTCCAAGAGGCAACAATTCCTCATTGATCAAGGTTACTCCTTCAAGGTAATGGGCACACACACACACACACACACACACACACACACACACACACACACACACACACACACACACACACACACACACACACACACACACACACACACACACACACACACACACTGCTGCTGCTATGCAGAAAGTTGAGGGTTTTCTCATGTTCTTACAGCATGTGGCATGCACCGTTTGCCATGTATCATCTACCGGTTGTGATGTGCCATCCTCCATGCACCAGCCACCATCCACCATGCACCATGCACCATGCGCCATGCACCATGCGCCATGCACCATCCACCATGCGCCATGCGCCATGCACCATGCGCCATGCACCATGCGCCATGCACCATGCGCCATGCACCATGCGCCATGCACCATCCACCATGCGCCATGCGCCATGCGCCATGCACCATGCGCCATGCACCATGTGCCATCCACCATGCGCCATGCACCATGCACCATGCGCCATGCACCATGCGCCATCCACCATGCGCCATGCACCATGCGCCATGCACCATGCGCCATCCACCATGCGCCATGCACCATGCGCCATGCACCATGCGCCATGCACCATGCGCCATGCACCATCCACCATGCGCCATGCGCCATGCACCATGCGCCATGCACCATGCGCCATGCACCATGCGCCATCCACCATGCGCCATGCACCATGCGCCATGCACCATGCGCCATGCACCATGCGCCATCCACCATGCGCCATGCACCATGCGCCATGCACCATGCGCCATCCACCATGCGCCATGCACCATGCGCCATGCACCATGCGCCATGCACCATGCGCCATGCACCATCCACCATGCGCCATGCGCCATGCGCCATGCACCATGCGCCATGCACCATGCGCCATGCACCATGCGCCATCCACCATGCGCCATGCACCATGCGCCATGCACCATGCGCCATGCACCATGCGCCATCCACCATGCGCCATGCACCATGCGCCATGCACCATGCGCCATGCACCATGTGCCACGTGTCATGTTCCGTCTCACCCACCATCCCACCATCCATCCCAACACTCCTGCCTCTACCCATACCACAAAGGTGGTAACATCGCTGCCCCCACCAGGGGAGGGGGACGACCTCTGCTACACGTCCAAGCAGGAGCAGCTTGATCTGCTCTCCACGGTGAGTGCCCTCTCCCTGTCTTCAGTATGTGGCATGAGACTAGTGGCGGTATCCTGCTTATCACGTCTCTTTGTGCCATCCCTTAAAGTGCTCAGCGCAGGAGACGAGGCACGGAGGGAGGAGGTACTGGCAGAGGACTAAGCCGATCTGAGCCACGTGCCTTGTTGCACATCTCCTTTTTCACATTCCGCCCCTCTCTCTCTCCCCTCAGGTGCTGAGTGCAGGCGACGAGGCACTGAGGGAGGAGGTACTGGCAGAGGACTATGCCTATCTGAGCCACGTGCCGACCAGCGGCCCTTGCCCTTCTGGGTTTGTGTTCCCTTCCCCTCTCTCTCCCCCCGTCACCAGGTGTTGAGCGCAGGGGATGAAGCGCTAAGGGAGGAGGTGCTGGCAGAGGACTATGACGATCTGAGCCACGTGCCAACCATCGTGAGGCCCCTCCCCTAATGGGTTGTTTCCTGTCTTCCCTTCCCCCTTCACCAGGTGCTTAAACCAGGTGACGAGGCACTAAGGGAGGAGGTACTAGCAGAAGACTATGACGACCTGAGCCACGTGCCTCTTTGCACATCTCCTCTCCCTGCCCTCCTCTCATTCTATCTACCCAGGTGCTGAGTGCAGGAGACGAGGCACTGAGGGAGGAGGTACTGGCAGAGGACTATGCCGATCTGAGCCACGTGCCAACCAGCGGCCCTTGCCCTTCTGGGTTTGTGTTCCCTTCCCCTCTCTCTCCCCCCGTCACCAGGTGTTGAGCGCAGGGGACGAAGCACTAAGGGAGGAGGTACTAGCGGAGGACTATGACGACCTGAGCCACGTGCCCACCATCGTGAGGCGCTCCGCTGCTTCCATGAGCGCCATGTCCGGCGCGCAGGGGCGGTCTTACATGGAGTTCAGGTGGGTGACCACTCAAGCACATGTGGACCCTTGGTCAATCAACATGTCACGTGCATCTATCATCGATCATCGTGAGGCGCTCTGCTGCTTCCATGAGCGCCATGTCCGACGCGCAGGGGCGGTCGTACATGGAATTCAGGTGGGTGAACTTCAATTACATGTGGATTGGATTTATTGTCATGGCATGTGGATCTATGTTACACCATCGTGAGGCACACCGCTTCTTTCACGAGCACCATGTAAGGAGTGCAGGGGCGGTCATACTTGGAGTTCAGGTGGGGTGAGGTTGCAGCTGGTGCAGGGAGTGCATGCAGGTACCGGGTATGGGGGATAAAACACTTGGATGCTCCATGAGTGCAGTGTGAGACGTGGAGCTTACGAGAGTACAGGTGTACTACGGTATATGTACCTAATTTGAAATACACTAGGTGCAGTTGAGCTCAAATGTGTTGTTCAATATGGGATGCATGAGGTGTGTCTTTGAGGTTTCCCAAATGAAGTGTAGTAAGCAGTTTCTTTCCTTTGTCTTATTTGAGTTCTCTCGCCACATCATCCTTCTCTTCCTGTTGCCTTTCACCTAACAGCACTGGCAGGGGTGGGGGAAGGGGAGGAGCGGGAGCAGGGAGAGGGGCAGCAAAGCCCAAGGATCCAGCAAAGAGGCATTCTCTCTTCAAGCAGCGCTACCGATAGAAGAACACAGAGCTTTGCAGCATTGGTTTCAGTAGAAGCATACTTCTTTACAGTTGTTGATCAATGCAGACTGGCTTGAAGCCCTGACTGTTCAATTCAACAAGGTTCGCTTCCTTGTTATGATACGACGTGATTTAACATAGAAGCAAGCAACATTCATGGGTGAAGGGATTGTGCCAAAAGTCTACTGTAATAAGATCACTGTGTCGCACTGCTGCAGCCCATTCTCAAAGAAAGGCATACGGTACAGTACTTTGCCTGTTGGTTCATTCTGAACGGAGGCATTGACAGAGGAGTTAACTTCGTGCGGGGGAATTCATATGATTAGGCAATGATTGACAGGTGTAAGGAAAATTCCTTTTCCTTACTTCGCATCCCTGCTCAACGCGTACATCACTGTAGCACCACAGTCAGCACCGTTACCACTCGCAACCCTCGCATCGACAATCCGCCCGCCACCTTCGCACATCGCACCCCGACCTCACGGCTCGGCGGGTAACCCGCGCTCCGGGCCTCCGCTTCGACACTTTTTCCCAACCTCAGTCCCAGGCCCGTCGCGCGACAACCACAGTCCATTACCGTTACCACTGTAGTTTCGCTATATATTCTTCGCTCATGCCTTCGCTCATCGTACTCTTGCTTCGATAGTGCAATTCTCGTTCGTTCACTCAAATTGCACTCGTAACACTTGGTATTCAGAGCCTACGATCTCCTCTCGGACCGCACCCACACCTTCGCTTCCCCACTATCTCAATTTTTGGGGGGGGTAGACGTCTCTCAGCGACACAGCACCGCCGCTCGTAGTGCTCTCTCGTAAGCACGCACGGCCACGACCGAGGCTCTCGCTGAGCTCGCCCGACACCCCCGCCATGGCCGAATTCACGCTCGCCACATTGACGCAGGAGCAGCTCGACCGTCTGGTGCGCCAACTTGAAGATTCGGCGCTCGAAATTGCGACGCTCACGGCGGAACGTGACTCCGCGCGTCAGCAATCAACGATGAACACTCCAGCGCCACCACATGCACCGACAAATGCATCTGCACAATCAGACGAGCCGATCATCATCTCGTCCGGCACACCAACACAAAACAACAGCGTGGGACAGCGCTCAGGCGCAGCCAGCGATGGCGCCGCCCAGCCGATGCCTGGCATGGGAGGAAACAGGGTCGCACCAAGCCCGCGGGAGCCTCGCGAAGCCCGTCGGCACGTGGAGTTCGCGGCGACAAGTGGCGAACAGGCCATTATGGCACCAATGCCACTCAAGCCGCAACGCCCGCCCTGCTTCGACCCGAGCCAGCGTGGAGGTCCGACGGTTCAATCGTGGGTCTTCACGATGAACGTCTTCTTCGACGCGAATTACGTCGAGTCGGACGCAACGAAGATTCGGTATGCCGTTTCGCTGCTAAGGGGCCCCGCCATGGACTGGTGGCGAGTCATCGTGACGTCGCCACGCGCCTACGAGCCACCGTCGCAAGAGGAAGGGCCCACGGGCCCAGCTGTCACCTGGAGTTCATTCTGCGAGACCGCCCAATACAGCACGTGGGATGCGTGGTGCGCAGGGCTTCGGGCGCGCTTCGAGCCGATCGCGGCTTCTATTTCGGCGCGTCAGAGATTCCGCACTTGGCGGCAGCTTGGATCGGTTCAAGACTATACGAGTGGTTTTCTCGCATTATGCGAGCAAGTCGGCTACATGCACGGAGCGGAGCGGGTGGACCGTTACGTCGGAGGGCTGAAGCCGGACATCTCGCACGAAATCATGCTACGCGGGCTCTCGAACTTCAACGAGATTCTTGCGCTCGCCAAGAAAATCGACATTTTACGCCGTCCGAGACCGGGGTCCTACTATGGACATCGTCCTCGGGGACCGATCGAGCACGCCACTGTACACGCTGTTGCGACGAATGCAGCTGCCGCGCCGTTTAAGGGGCGCTTCTTTGCTTGCAACAGGCCGGGCCATCGCAAGAGCGAATGCCCAGAGGAGCTAAGGCGCCGCGGAGCAGAGCAGGGGAGGGAGTCTCCAAAGCAGGGAAACGCCAGCAGTCAGTAGGAATCGGGCCAACTACTGACGAGACTGCCTGCTCGCCCAACCCCACCGACCCTCACCGAGTCACAGTACCGATTCATGCTATCGATCGGACTCGGACGAATAAGGAGGGTACGGCGACGGATTGCCCAGTACTGATCCACGGGAAAATACAAGGAGCAGCAGTGAAGATTTTTATCGACGGAGGAGCAAGCCACAGTTTAGTTAATACCGCAACCGCACGAAAACTGCAGCTGACACTTAGCCGTTGCTTACCGGAGATAGACGCACGCTTAGTCGACGGCACGCCACTGGCCATACGGGAAAAGGTAGAGAGAGGCAAAGTCCGCGGGGGAAATTTCGGGTTTACACAGGAAATGCTCGCAACGACACTAGATGGGCACGATATTTTACTGGGACGTGATTGGCTGCGACGGTATAACCCGCGAATTGACTGGACGACGGGTAGCTGCACCGTGCGAAGTAGTGGTAACTGGGTCGAGTTACCTCGCTGGCAGTCGCCCGAGTCTTCAACGGTACACGTCAACGCCATCACAATGAAACGGGCTGTCGCTGCTGGAGCTGACGTGTACGCAGTAGACATCGCATTAGTCGAGGAAGCAGAGCAGCCGAGTGATTTCAAGAAACTGCTGGCAGCCGTACCGCCCGAATTACGAGAATTGTTGAAACGATACCCCGGGATTTTCCCGACGACTTACCGGAAGGACTGCCACCTCAGCGAGCACATGACCACCGAATCGAATTAGAACCGGGGGCACAGCCAACCGTACAGCGCCAGTTCAGACTGACACAGCCCGAGCTCGACGAACTAAGGAAGCAGTTAGATTACCTGTTAGAGAAAAAAAATCATCAGACCGAGCTCGTCACCGTTCGCCGCACCGATACTATTCACGCCGAAAAAAGACGGGGGTTTTCGCATGTGTATCGACTACAGAGCACTGAACACGGTAACAGTCAAGTTGCGGTACCCCATTCCCCGCGCCGACGAACTGATCGACCAACTGCGAACAACACGGGTTTTTTCGAAAATAGATTTACGGGGAGGTTACCATCAGATTAGGGTCGAACCATCGGACTGCGCAAAACAGCTTTCAGGACTAGGTACGGGTCGTTCGAGTACACTGTGATGCCATTCGGGCTGACCAACGCACCGGCGACTTTTCAGATGACCATGAACGAGGCATTTAGGCCGCTCTTAGATAAATGTGTAATAGTTTACCTCGACGACATCCTAGTGTACAGTCGGGATAAGCAGCAGCACTTAGCAGATCTGGAAGCAGTGTTTAAGGTTTTAGACGAGCACAGATTACTGACCAAGGGTTCCAAGTGCGAGTTCTTCCAGGATAGGTTAGAATTTTTGGGGCACGTTATTTCGGAGGCTGGAGTTGAAATCGACCCAAAGAAGCTGGATACGGTAAAAGCGTGGCATCCCCCGACGAACATCACGGAGCTGCAGAGCTTTTTAGGGTTCGTTAATTATGTGCGTCGGTTCGTCCCCGATATGGCACGGTTAACTGCCCCACTGACGGATTTACTGCAGAAGGGGGTCGCTTTTACGTGGGGGGAGAAAGAGCATGCTGCCTTCTCTGCCCTGAAAAATGTTCTCTGTTCACCGCCCGTCCTGCGCATCGCCGACCCACACCGCCCATTCGAAGTAGTTACCGACGCAAGCGATATCGCCATCGGAGCCGTACTGCTACAGGATTTCGGCAATGGCCTACAGCCTATCGCATACGAGTCACGAAAACTGCATCCGCCCGAGAAAAATTACCCGATACACGACCGCGAAATGCTTGCGATCGTGCACGCATTCAAAGTATGGCGCTGTTACTTGACTGGCGCGGACGTGACAGTACGGACAGACCATAAATCACTACAGTACCTTCGCGCACAGCCACACCTCAACCCACGACAGATTCGCTGGCTCAATTTCCTCGAGTCCAACTTTCACTACACGGTCACTTACAAAAAGGGAGCCTCGAACATCGCCGACGCACTGACCCGCCCCACTGCCCAGATCCACGCAATACTACTCGCCCAGACAAGCCCGCTACTGACAGGCCTATTCACCCACGGGTACCAAACGGATCCATTATTCACAGGAGGAAATTCGCAGCAGTTCGCAGCAGCAAAGGGAGTCTATTACGTAAAAACCGGGACTGACCGCATTTGGGTGCCTGGGTATACACTGCTACGGGAATTACTGTTACAGGAGGCACACGACGGAGTTACCTTGGGGCATTTCGGAGTAGAAAAAACACGGCAGCAGCTGCAGCGGTATTATTACTGGCCCGAAATGTTGACCGACGTACAACGACACGTGGCATCGTGTCCCACTTGTCAGCTCATGAAATCATCACGACAACGGCCGGCGGGACAGTTGCAGCCGATACCACCCCCAGAACGTGCTTGGGAGCAGGTGACGATGGACTTCGTCACGGGGTTACCAGCCGGGGCGAGTGGGAACGACGCGATCCTGGTCGTCGTCGATCGACTGACGAAAATGGCACATTTCGCAGCCTGCAAAAAATCAATCACAGCCGAAGAAACAGCACGCCTCTTCATCTCCACCGTCGTTCGACTGCACGGGATACCAGCCGCGATCATCAGCGACCGCGACACGAAATTCACCAGCAACTTCTGGCGGAACCTGTGGCAGCAGTTCGGCACGCGACTGCAGTTCAGTTCATCATACCACCCCGAAACCGACGGACAGACAGAACGGACAAATCAGACCATGGAACAGCTCATCAGGGCCACGTGTGACGACCCGACCACGTGGGAACAACAACTGCCACTAATCGAATTCGCGTACAACAACTCGCCATCCGCCACGACCCAACAGTCACCATTTTACCTAAACTACGGACAAGACCCGACAGTACCCATGACCCCGAATCCCGACAACCCAGTACCACGAGCACAACAGTTCGCCGAAATATTACAAGCAGCACGGACTCGGGCAGTAGACGCAATAAAAAAATCGAACATCATCGCTAAACGCAACGCCGACCGCCACCGCAGACCTGTCACTTACCAGCCCGACGACTTAGTTTTACTTGACACTCAGAACCTCCGACTGCCCATCACCCCGAAACTCCGCCCCCGATACTGCGGGCCATTTCGCATAAGCCACATGCTTACACCCGTCACCGCCCACCTCCTCCTCCCTGCTGACTGGTACGTCAGCCCCTCATTCCACGTCAGCCTACTTCGCCCTTACGTCCCGTCCACGAGCCAACTGCCACGCAATCGCCCAGCCAGCATGACAAGACCACCAACTGAACCAATCATCACCCCCGAGAAAATCCTGAGTCACAGAGTTCGCGACCCTCGAGGAGCCCGAAGGATCGAGTTCTTACTCCGCTGGAAGGATCGTACACCCACCGAAGACAATTGGGTTCCCCTGGACAGAATCGAAAACCACCCCGTCCTCACCGAGTATCTGCGCATCCGAAATTTCAGGGATGTACACGCACTTTCGTAAGGAGGACCTCCTTAGGGGGGGGGGGGTAGTGTAAGGAAAAATCATTTTCCTTACTTCGCATCCCTGCTCAACGCGTACATCACTGTAGCACCACAGTCAGCACCGTTACCACTCGCAACCCTCGCATCGACAATCCGCCCGCCACCTTCGCACATCGCACCCCGACCTCACGGCTCGGCGGGTAACCCGCGCTCCGGGCCTCCGCTTCGACACTTTTTCCCAACCTCAGTCCCAGGCCCGTCGCGCGACAACCACAGTCCATTACCGTTACCACTGTAGTTTCGCGATATATTCTTCGCTCATCCCTTCGCTCATTGTACTCTTGCTTCGATAGTGCAATTCTCGTTCGTTCACTCAATTGCACTCGTAACAACAGGTCTAATGACAGACAAAATGTGTACAATACCGGTATTTATAAATTACAAAACCAGGTTCTGGAGGCATGCCATCTACTCTGGCAGTCCAGTTACTCTGGCTCCAGCCACAGCTGATACTCTAAACTCTATCCAGCTATTACTGTCAAGTCCTAATATTGGCGAAGTACACTGCTCATTCTGCGGAGGGTGACCCGGCTGCTAGAGCCAGTGATTCTGCGCCTGGCTCCAAACCTGCCGATGCCGACCGAAATACCTGACACTGCCAACGCCTCCCTTTCCTCCTCCTCTTCCTCATCCATATACAGCTGATTCATGTAGCACATCGTTCCTGTCCCAAGGGTCCTGGAACTTAGCTTGCTACTGCCATCCTCTTCCTCCTCCTCCTCTTCCTCCCCATAATCACACCTAAACAACTGGTTTGAGACCATCCGTCCTTCCTCCGCCTTCCCAAACCCCTTCACCTTCATGCTCCAGTCCTTTCCACTGCATAAAACGTCCTTATCCATCCCACTCTTCACTGATTTTTCCTCAGCTGCCAAGAGCTCAGTGAAATGGTAAGCAGTGGACAGAAAGCATCCCTTCCCTATCCTGGAAACGCCTCGGCCAGTCCCCCTCTTCACACCAGCAACCTCCTTCGTCAAGCCAGTGCGGCTGTTGCAGAGGCTATCAGCAGAGGAGGAAGAGGAGGAGTCCGAGGAGAGGTGGATGAGACACGCACTGAGGCTGCTGCAGCTGCTCTCACTGCGACTCAAGCTGCACCACCCGCTGCTCGCCTCTGCTCCCTCCTTCCCACCCTGCTCCACACCCAACCAGGCCGCAACCTTGGCTGAGGAAGTAACAGCCACAGTAGGATACGCTACTGAGTTCTCTTGAGCAAGGAGCTCCAGGAACGAAGACACTTTCCCTTTTAACTCCAACGGTTTCTTTTCTTCCTCAGCTTTCTCAGCCTGAATTGAAACGGCAACAGTCACAGTTGCAGCGTCCGCCTTGCCAGCCTCAGTGGAATGGTGAATGATTTCCGCATCTGCCTCCGTTGACGCAGAATCTTCCAGAGGAGCGACAACAGGAAGAGCGGGAACCGACTGCACCTCCACTGCTGCTTGCTCGCACGACCTGATCCAGCTGGAGACAGCCTGCAGGAGGAAAAAGGGATAGGTTAGCTGCTGTTTACGAGAAGCGTCATGACAACCAGAAAACAACCGATTCTAGATATGGACAAAACATTGCTCGTAAAGAAGTTGAGGGTTTGCGAGAACTGAAGCGAATGGCGTGGAGGAGTGGTTCTTACCAGGCGTGGAGCTGCAACAATGCTGCAGACAAAGCGAGTGAGGGAGTCATTCTGCTCCCAGCAGCTCGAGAACAGAGCGTCGACGTCCACGCAGGCACTCTCAGCACCGATGCAGGCCATGTTGCTGACGGACGAATAAGGAAGGAAGGCTAAAGTTTCCGCAACAGAGCTTGTACGCGAGATTATGAGCACTCAAGCAGGCTTAGACAGCTGGTAGTAACGAGGGAGCAAGGTAAGAGAATTTGCAGGTAGCTTCAATCGAGACTGATGAATGAACTGAAAATTCTGAAGGTCTACTTATAACATATCCGTCTGGTGGGTACAGCGACTCTGATGAGCGTCGCCTGAGAAGCGAGTGGGAGTGAGCGAGCGAGGGAATGCGACGAATGGCCCGGGAGGTTAGGAGGGTGGCAGAGGGAGTGAGGCAAACAGGGGGGAACCCGCCGATGGTCGCTTGAGGCGAACTCGCAACGCCTGAGGGTGGGCTTGCGATGCGAGTGCTGGCAACAATCGGAGCCCATGGCGACATCGTCGGCTGGCCTTGGGGGTACAGGGGAGTCGCGCGAGCCTACATTAGCGACGATTCAGAGAACGACACGTGTTGTTTATGTGCCAGCAAGGTGGGGTCGACTGGAAGCGCGTACCGCTCGAGTATCCGCCGCAACCGGGAGTACCAAGCGGCACGCGAATATCTAGAAGGCGGGAAAGAGGTAATGTTTGTACGCCGACAAAAGTCTCGGCACACGCGGTACGGTTCCCCGAACCTAGTTCCCAGGCCTAGTGATTTGCGGGATGATGAGCAGATGGATCGAGTTTATGACCAAGCTTGGACGTCAGGTATGGGAGTGAGGTATGGTGGAAGGAGTTGAAGGTGGGAAGGGAGCGATGAAGGCGAGGGTGCTTGTCGGGCCTTCGGTTTGCTGTGGTTCATTTGGAAGAAAGAATTCATGCAAATTACATCAACGGTTCCAGTAAAAATTAAGCCCACCACATGATTGGCAGAACTAGCCATTTTGCTATTTTTAATCAATTTATGACATGAGATGAGATAACATGAAATATTGCGTATCTTAAAGACTAGAAGCATATAAAAAGGATAATTAGGCAAAAATGCAATGCATTGATGTAATTGTGACGGACGGACGTTAGTAACAGTTGTGATAGGTAATTCAATTTGTCTTATTGCAGAGACACAGCTCCTATTCCTACTAACTGTCAAGATAGCAAACAGTGATTGGTTGCATTGAATCAAATGTGGGTACAAGTACTAACCCTAACCTCGGGTTGTACCCCATATGGGCTACCCCACTATAGCCTACATTGAACTAATATATGTATAGTTTGACACACCCCCATAGGCAAAGTGGGGAAGAACAAAGGGTCACAAGACCAGTCAAGAAAAGCAAAGCAAGCTCGGGGTGGATCACAACGTCACCACATACTCGAGCACAAGCAAAGGGGCCACAAGGCCAGTTCCCATTCAAAGGTATATATGCAACAACAATACAATGATCACTACCTAGCAAGAGTAAACATGCAGGTATGCATATATAGATCACAGTACAACCAGAGTCTACAGCAAGTGAGGAAACGTAGGCACCAGGCCTAGAGCAGTGCAAAAGAGCTGATGATCACCAGCCGGAAGGGCCTTGGTGAACACATCAGCAGTGTTGGCCCGGGTGGGCACGTGAGCGACACGAAGCTGACCACGCTGCTGCAACTCTCGAGCAAGGAAGTAACGCAGAGCGATGTGCTTCGTTCTGTGCTCCAGTCTATGGTCCTGACACAAGGCAATGGCAGCCTTGTTGTCGACGTACAGAACTGGAGGAGAACGAGGCCTCTCTCCCAAGTCGGTCAGCAGGCAGGTAAGCCAGCGTAGCTCTTGTGTAGCCATGGCTGTGGCGTAGATCTCAGGCTCACAACCGGAGCTGAGAACAGAAGACGAGCGAGTAGACCGCCAAGAAACAGAGCCACAGCCAAGGCTGAACGTGTAACCCTGTGACGACCGCTGCGTAGCCAGATCGTCAACCCAAGAAGCGTCTGAGTGCCCAGTGAGGACAACTGAGCTCCGCCCTCCAAGCACGAGCCCCATGCCCGATATACTGCACAAGTAGTGCAGTACCCTCTTCGCAGCATCCATGTGCACCTTTCGGTGCCTACCAGGAGCCACATAGCGTGCCAGAAGGCCAAGAGGGTACGCAAGGTCAAGAAGAGTGCAGGTCATCAGGTACATGAGGCAGCCAACTAGCTCTGGGTACGGACCACTCGGCTCTACGGACTCGTCCGAAGGTGGAGCTGAGAGCGAGTGGCCTGTAGCAAGAGGAGTGGGCTGTGGCGAGGACCAAGTGAAGCCGAAGCGCTGAAGGACCTGCTGCACCATGTGTGACTGAGTCAGTGTGATGGTGCGGCGTGCTCTGTCCCGGGTGATCTGCAAGCCAAGGTAACTGCGCAGCTCACCCAGGTCTATGCACCTGTGTCTCTTCTGCAGCTCTGACTTCACCAGGGCGAGAGCCTCAGTGTCAGCAGTGGCAAAGACCAAGTCGTCGACGTACACGAGGATGTAGAACGGCGGCAGCGAAGTGTCGGCACGCAGAAACATCGACGGTTCAGCAGTAGAACGGGCGAACCCAAGAGCCGCAAGTGTCGTCCTCAGTGTGTCGTGCCACTCACGAGGCGCCTGACGGAGACCGTAGACCGGCCGACGGAGGCTCCACTGGGTACGAGGAGGGAACGACCCAGTGAAGCCAGGTGGGCGGCGCAGCCAGATCTCCTCGTGCAGACTGCCCTGCAAGAAAGTTGTGCTGAAGTCCAGATAGTGAAGCTCGTAGTCACGCTGAGCAGCAACGTGCAGCAACACCCGAAGAGTGGTCATCTTCGGGGTGGGGGAGAAGGTCTGGAAGAAGTCGACTCCTTGTCGCTGACTGAAGCCTCGTGCAATATAACGAGCCTTGAAGACAGGCGGAGAACCCGGCGGCTGCTTCACCCTGAAAATCCACATGCCATCGACGATGTTCGCCCTAGGAAGGGGAACCTCATCGACGTAAGTGCCTGTGGACTTCTAGGATGCCATCTCTGCGTCCATGGCTGTCTGCCACTGAGAGGAGTACTCACCCGCGATCGCCTTAGCGTAAGAGCGCGGGGTCGGGATGTCTGGGGCATCCGGGTCTCCCTCAGGGGCAAGCAGCATGGCCACGAAATGAGGCGCAGCGGCTGCAAGACATTCAAAGTCCTCCTGTCTGTCCTCAAGGACGTCCGTGCCAAGAGCACACTCACCCCCGACGGACGGAGGACAGACAGACTCAGACTCAGCAACAAGACTAGCAGCGAAGTTGAGACGACAGGCAGCAGCAAAGTCAACAAGCTCAGAGACAAAGGCAGACGCAGCAGCAGAATCAAACGACGGGTCAGTAACAACAGTGGCTAGCAGACACGTGATAGTAGGGTGAGCAGCACGAACCAGGTCAGACTCAGGGTCCTGAACGTCAGGTAGAGAAGACGCAGGAGGAGACGGTAGGGGAACACGCTGTGGAACAGAGGAAGGACGAAGTGCCATAGCGTGCATGCCAGGGACAGGAGGCGGACGCTCACGAGGAACACGACAACCAGTGCGACCAGCGCGAACAGGCGAGGCAGGACGAGACGCAGGCTCACGACGCTCTGTAAGCAAGTCTGTCTGCTCAGTGTAAGGAGAAGGAGCAGCCAGTGTCGCGTCGGGCTGTAACGGGAGGCCAGTGGAAGACGGGAGGCTAAGAACCTGGCGAAGCACGGAGTCAGGCGGTGGAAGAGATGACGGTGACGGCGGAGCGAAAAACAGTCGCGACGGTGCAGGGCCACCAGTACCAGTAGCTCCAGCGCCTCTAGCAGCTCTTAAACCTCCAGCTCCAGCGCCTCCAGCAGCAGCACATCCAGCTCCAGTGACTCCAGCAGCAGCACCTCCAGCTCCAGCGCCTCCAGCAGCTCCAGTGCCTCCAGCTCCAGCGACTCCAGCAGCAGCACCCCCAGCTCCAGCGCCTCCAGCAGCAGCACCTCCAGCTCCAGGGACTCTAGCAGCACCAGCTCCAAGGCCTCCAGCCCCAGTACCTCCAGCAGCAGCACCCCCGGAACCGACACCTCCAGCTCCAGGAGCAGCACTAGTCCCGGCAGCTCCAGTACCTCCAGTACGAGCACCTCCAAGACCAGAGACACCAGCACTCCCAGCGCCTCCACGACAAGCAGCTCCAGCAACACGACTCCTCAGGCGGGTACGCGACGCAAGCCACTCTCGTGCCTGCTGTGGTGAGATAGGCCCGCGTCGTGAAACGAGACCCAGAGGAACTCCAGCAGACTCAGCACCCCCAGGCGTCGCACCCCCCGGCACCTCATGGACGGGCTCAGCACCCCCAGACTCCGCCGCCGCAGGCTCAGCACCCCCAGGCTCCGCACTCCCCAGCACCTCACGCGCAGGCTCAGCACCCTCAGAAGCAGCACCCCCAGCAGCACCTGAGTCGCTAGTGACCTCTACAGGCTCAGCCAAGGGGGGCGGGTCTACCTGAGACACACCTGAAGGAGCAGGACCCTGATGGGGGAGGGGGTCTACCGGAGGGGGACCTGGAGCGAGGAAAAACGGCGGGGGAGGGAGAGGGGTAGTGTGGTAGGGGAAGAGACGGTAGAAAGGAACCGACTCGTCAAAGGTGACGTCCTGAGAGGGGAAGACACGGCGCGAGGTGGGGTGGTAAAACTGCCAGCCAGGCGCATCAGGGACAAAGCCAAGGAAGACACAGGGAATGGTGCGGGAGGAGAGCTTGTCCGCGGACGTTTCGCGGACAAGGGCACGAGCACCCCAGACCCGGAAACGTGACGCATCGCCAACCTGCCCTGTCCAACGCAGTGTGGGCGAGGTCTCCAACAAGGAGACACGGTGCCAGAGGTTGAGCTGCTGCGCGGCGTACCGGACCGC